AAAAAAAAAAAAAAAAAAAAAAACAACTCAACAAGGAATGAGAGAAAAACCAGGGAACACATACGTTGCAATCGTGTTGTCGAAGATCACGTACATTCCACGCTTGTGGATTTCCGTGATCGCATTGCGCCAGGTCTCCAAGTCACCGTAATGCATGTCCAACAGAGTCGTGTCCAAGGCCGAATAACCATCGTACCCCCAGGGTTGGTTCATCAGCTGGGTTCCGGCCAGATATAGTGCCTACAAATCAGGAGTGTCAGTCAAACGTAGTTCCAAGAAGAAAAAAGAAATCGGGACCATAGAGGATCTTCGGAACAACCGACCTTTATTCCCATGCCTTGTAAGTAATCCAACGTATCCAATAAACCTGCCACATCACCACCGTGACGCATCTGCGTCGACGAGAGATCATGCTCGAATAACGTCCCGTTGATGTTATCGTTGGTAGGATCTCCATTCACAAATCGATCGAGGAACAGCGTGTAGACGGGGACTCGCCAGTTCTCCGGGGAGGGGAAGTATTTGCCCGTGTGGTTGGGCCATTCGCCCCAATAATCGAGCGGATCGGTAGCGGTTTTGTTCTGGTTGAAGTTGTAGGCAGCATAAGATTCGTTCCATGGCCAGGCCGCTGCTCGCGAGGCCAGCAGAGCCAGCAGTGTGCCACTGGATGCCCACTTCATTGTTGTTGCCCTCAAAGCTTTTTCTGCCAACAACAAACGAAGGGGAGGGGGGGGAGAGGGAGAAGAAAAGAGGGCAGGCCTCTATTTGGGAGTCATGTACAAGTAGTCGGCCCAAATTCTTCGCTGGATGCAGAAAAACCAAAATAAGGACAGATTAGCTCGTAAACGTAAACGAATGTCGGGGGGTGGTGTCTTATTTGCTGTTTTCGGCTTGTGTCTGATGGGGGAGGGTGGGCTACTGATAAGTAGCGGGGAGAGCTGTGATAAGGTGGGAGGAGGTTGGAGGAATGCCCACGCAGAACAAGAAGCAAATGCGGAGATGTGTTAACGAGAGAAAAGGTGGGTGAGGAAAGGAAGAGAAAAAGGAAGAGGGAGGAAGAGGAAATGCAAAAGGTATACGAGGAGAAACGAGGGACCAAAGCTAGAGGGGAGTAGAGGACAGAGGGAGTAAAAAAAAAAAAATAAGGTGGAAAGCGAGTAAGCCGGTTGGGAAAGTAGAGGGAGAGATGTCGTGAGATTGAATATCAAGGCCGAGAAAGGCTCGATAGGTTAGATGCAACAAGTGGATCGAACGAGGCAGAGAGGCCCTCGTTTTTCTGCTAAGAATAACTACTAGCAGAGCACCGGGGCCAGGCTTACTAGAGACTATTATTCCCTAGAAGGAAGCAGTGACAAGTTGGCGACCTTTTTAGTCCTTAGTAATTTGTGAACTTTGTGAACTTTGTTCTCCTTTGTCTCTTGGGTCTTTGCTCTCGTTGGTCTGTTTGGTCTCTTCGGTCTCTTTGGCCTCTTCTTTGTCAAGCAGGAAGAGAGAGTGGTGAGGGCAAAAAAAAAAAAGAACTAAAACTTTGGGATCCGCACTTATTACTCCGTATTCCATCCAAATTCCCATGATGATGTCTGGTTCCCAGCTTTTACTTGCCTCTTTGCCGTGCGCCTCCTTCCGGGGAAAGGGTTCTCGATCCATTTCGCCTTGCCATGTATGATGTATGTATGAAATGTACGAAATGCTGGTTCCTGCTGCAGTATGGATGCGACAAGTTAGACGAGGGATTCAGGCAGACCCCTCAACTGAACCCGGACGGACCCCAGGGTTTTTTTTTTTTCCCGGTCTCAGTATTTTATTTTTACTACGGCGCAAATCCACTCGGGACCAACCGACAAGACAGACAGACAGTGACTGAATCCATCACTTCCAGCCCACCGCGGAGGGTCCACCCAGCAAAAGGGAGTTTAGTCTAAGTACGGAGAAGTTGTTGTCTTATCGTCGGGAGGCGCCAAGCAAACCGCCCCGATTGCAACCCATTCGTCTTTTTACGAGGTGGGCAAAAGCACCGGGGCCCACGAGCTGACTGGAGCTGTGAGATTGCCCCTGGTAAGTTACCCGCGAAAAAAAGGCAAAGGGGAAGGGGGAAAATAAATAGATAGATAAAAAAAAAGAAAGGAAAAGGGAAAAAGAGGTGGGTGTGTGTGGGTGTGTGTGGGTGTGTGTGTGTAAGAGAGAGAGAGAGAGAGCTGAGCGGCACAGCCCAAGGCTCTTGTCTGTCTCAGTACGGTACTGCTGTGCTCAGTAGGTAGCTTACTGAGTCTCCGTGGTAGTCAGAGTGATCAGTCCCAACTCGGCCACCGGCCGGCCTTTCCGTTCGCGTGCGGTCGGCTTGGTCCCTTATCGCCCGAATCTAGAAGATACGGTACACTTCGTACTCCGTACTCCTCCGTACGGAGCAGGCAGTCCCCTAAACGCTACGGTAGGGGTGCAGGTATTTATTCTCCCAACTTCCCGCTCTAGATAATCTCAAAGATAAGAAGGGCCTGCCTCGCCCCAAGGTGGCTTCCATTCTCTTCTTTCTGTCCTGGGTCCTGTGGCAGTCAGCAAGGGCAGTCTCTCCCCTTGCTAGGTAGTCAGCCTGTCCACCCAGGGAGCAAGTGAAACAAATTATTGAACACTTGTCCGTTGTTCGTTAGAGAGGAGGAGATGGGGGAAAATTCAGAGGGATTTGAGACACGGAAAAGTGACATGACCCATTTGATAGGTCTGTTTAGGAGAGAATCCGGGTTAGTGACGAGCCAGCGTCCGATCCAAACGGATCCTTCCGATTGGCATTGGAGGGTGTAGATTTGGAGTGATTGGAGAGTGATTGCACTCGGTAGCCAGTCACATTGGTGCCTTGATTCTCACTTTGCTGTTTTGGGACAGGGTCCCCGATTTAGAACCCTTAGAACCCCCCCCCCCCCCCCTCAGGGCTCAGTCCGTCAGTCCATGAAAACGGGCCTCGGTATTTGTTCATTGCAAATTACAGCGTGCATCTGCAGCTACGGTAATTTATCCATGATGATCCACCAGCCAGGGTCTTGGCACTGATCCTCTGGCGGGCTCTGGTTGGCTGCCAGCCACACCGTCCCATTCCATGTCTCAGACCACCGGTTCCATACAAGACTGACTGACGATGTGATCAATCCATCATTCACTACTGTTCGGAAGCCTGAGGCTGCAATGTTGCCTTGCCGATGACTGATCACTCCCCGTGCCCCTCCTAATAATAGATTGATGCAATTTCCAGTGTCTCTCGCTGCTCCCAGAGAGTGGATGTAAATAGGGCTCTCTCCGCGGACGGCTCCTCGCCACCCTACCCGAGGGCCATGTTGTCCATGTGGTATGCTATGCAACGGTTGCACTCGATCACTCTCTGGGATGGATAAGGTGATCCGGCATCGTCCCGACGGAAGCCCCTCCCTTCCCTTGATTCATGTAGGGGGGAAGGGATTGTTCCACTGCTTCTAGATTAGATCCTTTATTCAATTATATCCAGGATTGGCAATAATGATATCTGACGTAGGTGGTGGTAGTTAGTGGTGGTGATGGTGGTGATAAGAGTCCCAGACTCCCAGCTCGAGACTTTCTCCTGACCTCGCTTATCGCAGCTGCTGTTCCCGGTCCCTGGATGCCTTTGATGCCTGAGGCTGGTGACATGTTTGTTTGTTTGTTGGTGATTCACGCCTATGCCTGCATGCAGGGGCCAACTCAGGCTAACTCTGGCCAACAACACCGCCCAATCTCCGAAAATCCAGTCGAGTCCCTCATTCTGGCGAACAAACCAAACAAACCACACGTGCCCCTGTCAATCCCCTGAAATTACCCGTTGATCAGCCCAAGTCCCTTCCCTAAATCCCCTTCCAGTTTGCTTTGCAGTTCGTAGGAATAATACGTAGGGTGTTCGTGCCCGGATCCACCAGTGCTACGGCCAGTTGGGCTGAGAATGGAGATCGAACCCTGATCGAAGTTTCTGCCCTGCCCTGCCCTGCCCTGCCCTGTCTTGCTGTCTATTGCTTTCGGTTATTGTGCAGTCAGTCAGTCTAATTTATCCACTACGAATTCCAGTCATTCTGTCAACGTCCGCCCATGATGGCCCCCCTATTTCGATCATGGGCATCCTGACAGGGGTTAATATTATCGCCGCTCAGGCACCACCAACCGGTTGCTTGACTATAATGACTATAAGCAAGCGAAAAAGGGGAACCAACGAATAGCAGGCGAGGATGCATGCGGACTGGTGGTGCAAGTGAGACCTGATATGGAGGTTGGCCCTCGATTCGTCGAGGGTGATAGGCCTGCAGCCGGTCTAATAGACTAAGAGTTCTCCTGTCTCACCCCCACCCACCCACGCTTCTGTTTTTCCTTCTTTCCACGCTAGTCTAGACGGACATGGGGGAACGTTAGCAGTTAATTTAGCCCGTGAACGGCAATAATCCATTTGTAACCGGACACCAGCGGGTGTTGTCGTACCTGCTTTTCTGCCGAGGAACTCCCACCCTTTCCAAGGAAATTCGGTCCAGCGGCCACTCAAGCCCTGGAAAAGAGGGGAACTTTGCTCGAACTTTGCTCCCACTTGCTCCCACTTGCTTCCACTGGCACCCACTAACTCCCCAATTCATCCAGGTTTACCCATTTTTCGCCGCAACAAGCATTGCCCCTGGATAGGAATGATGGACACTACCATATCTTATGACCTCTTATGGCCGCAACTAGTATTCAACTAGAAGGTGATGGCCCCGTCAACTAGCTGCTTGGGGATAGCTTGAAGATTTCTCCAGACGTAGTTGACTGCACTTAGTTAGTTAGGGCTTTTTTGCCTCTCTGGGCTTTCCCCCTCCGGTCGTGGCCAGCCATGACTATGTAGACGTTGTCGTCCTTTCCGTCTCCTGCAAAGTTATCTCCTCTTCCCAATCATGCCCTCTGCCATTCCCCTCATCTTATCGAGATGACGCTCTTTGCCTGGTAACGCATCCCATTCATTCATTCCCATTCATTCCAGCCTACTTGCTGTCATTCGTTCGTTCTATCGACTACTGCCGTTCTTTCTGCATCTCTGCATTTCTGCATCACACACGCTATTCTCTTCTTGTTCGTCTCTCGCTATTCCTTGTTTTGGTCCCCCTGGTGGTAATGCGCCTATCGCTCTGGTGCTCATGAACCGCGTGCAGCACACGAGCCATTACCCTAGACCGAATTGACTGGAAGTAAATTTCCCCTCTCCTCCTTTGAATCCTCCGCCCATCCACCGTCTTTTTTCGCCTTGGGGAGGTCGTGCAGCACCACCCGCACAAGATCTCGCGACACACGACCCACGACACACCATGGTTTCACTTGCCAGCCTTGGGCAATGGGTTCTCACCCTCGCCCTCCTCGGTGGGTATGAGACCGTCTCAGCCGCGACGACGCAACAATGGAAGTCGCGCAGTATCTACCAGACGATGACCGACCGGTTTGCGCTGCCCGCGGGCACCACGGCGGCCGCCTGTAACACCACGGCCGGACTGTACTGCGGAGGCACCTGGCGCGGCACCATTGATAAGCTCGACTATATCCAGGGCATGGGGTTCGATGCGGTGATGATTTCGCCCATTATCCAAAATATCGACGGTCGGGCCTCGTACGGTGAGGCCTACCATGGATACTGGCCGGATGATCTGTACTCGCTTAATTCGCGGTTCGGGACGCACCAAGATCTGCTGGATCTGAGTGCCGCCGTCCACTCGCGAGGCATGTATCTCATGATGGACACGGTCATCAACAACATGGCTTACATGACTAACGGCAAGAACCCCGCCACCAACATCGACTACTCGGCCTTGACTCCCTTCAACAGCTCGTCCTACTACCACAGCTACTGCGAGATCTCCAACTGGAACAACTATACGCAGGCCCAGCTGTGCCAGACCGGTGACAAGATCGTCGCCCTGCCCGATCTGTACACCGAGCACGAGGATGTGCAAAACATGCTGGTCGACTGGGCCACGCAGATGATCTCGACGTACTCGATCGACGGGCTGCGCATCGACGCCGCCAAGTCGGTCAACCCCGGGTTCCTGACCACCTTCCACGACCGCGTGGGCACCTTCATGACCGGCGAGGTCTTCGAGCAGAACGCCTCCATTGTCTGCGACTACCAGGACAACTACCTGCCCAGTCTGCCCAATTTCCCGCTGTACTACACCATTCTGGATGCCTTCACGCGCGGCAACCCGAGCGCCCTGTTCCAACGGATCGCCCTCGTCCAGCAACTGTGCAACGATGTCCCCGCGATGCCCACCTTCATTGAGAACCACGATGTGGACCGGTTCGCGTTCGCCAACGGCGATCTGACGGTAAGCCCCCTTCGCTTCCATGGAGCACAAGCCTCCGCATGAGCATGAATGAAGAAAAGGGCCCGAAACTAACCATCCATCCCCAATCCAGCTGGCCAAGAACGCCATCGTCTTCGAGATGCTGTACGACGGAATCCCTTGGGTGTATCAGGGCCAGGAGCAGCACCTGAACGGGTCGTACGCGGGCACCCACAACCGCGAGGCGCTGTGGGAGTACGGGTACGACACGAGCTCGACGCTGTACACGCTGATCTCGAAGCTGAACCGGGTGCGCAAGCACGCGTACACGCTGGACCCGGAGTACATCGAGATGCAAACGATCCCGCTGTACCAGGGCGGTAGCGAGCTGGCGTTCTGGAAGGGCGCGTTCGGGCGGCAGGTGGTGATGCTGCTCTCGACGCAGGGCAGCACGGGCAGCTCGTACAACGTCACGCTGCCCATGACCTACGGGGCGGGCATCGAGGTGGTCGAGGTGCTGAACTGCGTCAACTACACGGTCAACGACTACAGCCAGCTGATCGTGCCGATGGACAAGGGCGAGCCGCGGGTCTTCTTCCCGGTGACGCTGATGCCCGGCAGTGGCCTGTGTGGCTTCAGTTCCAACACCACCTCGCTGAGCCACCTGCGGCTGTCGGCGGCGGCCGCAGCCCTGGGTTCCACGGCCAGTCTGACCGTGGCGCAGGTGTCCGGGGGTTTGGTTGCGATGATTACCCTGTTGGCTAGCTTGTTGCTTGTTTAGTTTGGGGTGTTGTTTTGAAAATGGTGTCCCCCGATCACGGGATTGATTAAACCTTTTTTTTTATTATTTCTTTACTGCTGCGGCTGCTACTAAGCAATTTCTCGATGTACATACTTTACATACCTTGGTGTTCGTTCCTCTCTCGATTGGCGCTGTACCTGGTTTTTCATTTATTTATTTGTTTATTTTTCTTGTTCGATTCTGCGGCAGGCCCTTACTTGACTGAACCCCCCCTTGATGTAGCCGGTAATCATCTTGATGCTTCAATATGCTCAACCCTACGGCGCAGTCAGGGGCATGCATGCATTTTCCATCAAGTAATCTCTCCAGAACCATTTAATCTGCAATGTCTTCGCCGTAGTGGGGCAACGATCTGGAATGTCTTGGACACAACTTAAGACCTTCGCTCCGTCGCCGAAGCTTGCATCTAAAAATGGACAGCTCTCGGTTTTCCAACGTCAGGCCCCATTTTTATTTGTGTTCGACCGGCTTTTGAAGGGGACTCCACTTGGCACGGAGAGCTTTTTTTTTTCTTCGATTGAATGAATATTTTTCCGCCGGGGGGTGGCCGGTAATTTACGCGCCCGGTACGGGTATTGTGTCTCGCTTGGACTGTCTTGCCTCGGATCGCGTCCTTCCAATGGGGCAAGGCGGTCACAGCTGTACCCGGCGGCGTAAGAAAAGCTCCTCGGGATAACTGTAGGTACCTAAACACATGGACTAATTTAGCTTAGGTGGTTAACTTAGTGAGGGTAGTCAGTGGCTGCAAGCAACAAACAGCACCGCAGCAATCAGGGGCCAATCCGATCTCCTGTATGTGTATATTTGTATATGCGGGTGTATAGAGCACAGTTGCCACCAGCTATACAGTTCCAGATACATGCTCTCTTAAACAGAACATACACACAAATCAACCCAGCGCAATGGATTCCTTGCTGTGGTGTTTCCGCCCGCGCAAGCGAAGAGACCTCCATGACTGGAAGCAAATAGAGGGTTAGCTATCCCGCCCCCGCCCCCCAATACATCAAGAGATATATATTGAACGGTCTTGCACAGCCAAGGCCGACAACGTGGAATCCCAGCCCAGCTGGCACGACCCCAGCGATAACACCTTGCTCTTCGAAGGCTTCGAGTGGCACATCCCGAACGATAACTGCCACTGGCGACGGCTGCAACGCGCCCTGCCGGCCCTGCACGCCATCGGGGTGGACTCCGTCTGGCTCCCGCCGGGGTGCAAGGCGATGAACCCGTCGGGGAACGGGTACGACATCTACGATCTGTACGACCTGGGCGAGTTCGACCAGAAGGGCTGCACCGCCACCAAATGGGGCTCCTTCGCCGACCTCGAGGCGCTGATGGAGGACGCCCACGCCCTGGGGGTGGGCGTGTACTGGGATGCGGTGCTGAACCACAAGGCGGGCGCCGATTTCCCGGAACGGTTCGAAGCGGTCAAGGTTGATTCTCAGCGTATGCTTCTCCTCATTCCACGTACCCAAGGTGATGCTCACGCGACGAAAACCAGGACGCGATGTCGAGATCGCAACCCCGCAAGAGATCTCCGGCTGGACGGGCTTCAGCTTCTCCGGCCGGGGCCCCGTCCACAGCGCCCAGGAATACCACTGGTACCACTTCAGCGGGGTCGACTGGGACGACGCCGCCCAAGAGAACGCGATCTTCCGGATCAGCGGGGCGGGGAAGCCCGGCTGGGCGGAGGACGTGGGCCGGGAGCTGGGCAACTACGACTACCTCATGTTCGCGGACCTGGACTACTCGCACCCGGAGGTGCGCGCGGACGTGCTGCGCTGGGGCACCTGGATCGGCCAGCGGCTGGGGTTGAAGGGGATGCGGCTGGACGCGGCGAAGCACTTCTCCATGCGGTTCCAGAAGGCGTTCGCGGCGCACATGCGCGCGACCACGGACCCGGAGTTCGTCGTCATCGGCGAGTACTGGACGGGGGATGTGCAGGAGCTGGTGCGGTACGTCCAGACCGAGATGGAGGGGACGGTGGTCGCGGTCGACGCGCCGCTGGTGCATAATTTCTCGCGGGTGTCGTTGGAGAAAGGCCGTGGGGATCTGCGGCGCCTGTTGCGGGGGACGTTGGTCGAACGGTGTGGGGGAAATGCTTTGGTATGTCTTCTCTTGCGGTTTGATTCTGTGGGGGAAACAGATGAGGGGGGTGAAGGTGAGGTTGCCGGAGTGCTGACCTGACCTTGGAGCATAGACATTCGTCGAGAACCATGACACGGTAAGTGCAGCTCACCCTGCACCCTGAATATAGGATCACTAACAGCAAGTCAGCAACCCGGCCAAATGATGGAGGTAAGAACCTCCCCCACCCATACTATCCAACCACAGCCTTATCGCCTTATCGATACTAACCCCGGTGCAGAACACCATCACCCCGGAGTTCAAACTCCTCGCCTACGCCCTCATCCTCCTCCGCCAAGAGGGCCGCCCCTGTCTCTTCTACGGCGACCTGTACGGCATCTGGGACGCCCAGACACAACAAGCCCACCGCGACGCGGCCTACGCCTACCAAGTCCCCATCCTCACCCGCACCCGCAAGCTTTTCGCCTACGGCGAGCAACAGGACTACTTCGACCAAGCGCATTGCATCGGTACGTTCCCGCCAACCTACCATCATCAAATCAAATAGCCATCCCCCAAATTGCCCAAATTGCCCAATCGGGCGATGACTTCATGACTTTTGGACATAAACTTCCCTCACGTGGCGGCGTTTCGTATCTGACCCCACCCCCGTGTGCAACCGCAGGCTTCGTCCGATACGGCAACGCGCGCCACCCGGCGGGATTGGCGTGTGTGTTGAGCAACGCGCCCGGGCGTGCCACGAAGCGCATGTATGTCGGGCAGCGGCACGCGCATGCGACGTGGACGGAGGTGTTGGAGGGCGACAGCAGCAAGTTGGGTGCGGTGGTGATTGACGCGCGGGGGTATGGGGAGTTCCCCGTGGAGGGAGGGGGGGTTAGCGTTTGGGTTGATGCGGCGGCGCCGGACCGCGGGAGGCTGAATGACCCGTTGTATGTGTTTGACCCTGCTTGGTTGGTTTGTGGTTTGTGTGGGATGAGACGGCGCTGACTCACAGTTTTGCGGATGCAGTGATCATGATATCTATGGGTAGAGGGGATACCTGGGGTACATACAGTACTGCACTGAGCCAAAGGTAAGAGGGGTAACACCCACCGGACCGAGCCATGGACCACGCCATTAAACCGGGATACGAGGGCTGGCTGGCTGGCACCACCACTGCACGAGCAGCACAACCAGCACAAAAAGTAAAATAAAGTCAATGGGACCCCAAAGAGTCTACACACCCCAATCGGGCAACTCCTCTCCTCTATGAAGTAAAAGTAAAATATCAAGTAATCCGAATGCAAGTGGGGCAGTGCACTGAAACATTATTGCCAATAGGTCGGTCTGACTCTCGCTGGACTGACTGACAGACAACACTCTGCAGCCTGCACCCAATGCATCTCATCTCATCTCATCTCATTTCCTCTCACCACCACACTCTCTCCTATTAATTGAAGCATCAAGCCAATTCCCCCTGTCCATCACTGCATCACGGCAGGGATGACAATCCTTCGCATGCAGGAAAGTGTAGAGCTCATTTCCCTTATCTCATGGCTTCACGCCAAGCCCGCATCCACTCACCCACCCACACAAGCCTCATCGTATCGAGCAACCCGCCGAGAACAGATTGAGACACTAACACTGCATTATGGGTCTCTTGCTGTTCCTGGCAGGAAACCCACCAAAACCTGAAAGGCAAAGGAAAGAAAGAAAGAAATGTCTCGGAAGAGAGAATCCGGCGTGGTTGACCACCTCAGTGTCAGACAAGGACTGAAAAACTCACACCCGGGGACGCACTAACGCCCTTTCCGGCAAGCCCGCCGTGCGGTTCCGGATGCAGTGCGTATTTTTCAATACCACCCCATACGAAAGGACAATCAGGGTCTCAGGCGGTGGGATGGCCGCCCTTACACCAATGAACTGTCCCCCATTTTTCCTGGGCCTCGGTCGGCCGCTCGGCATTCCACTGCTTTCGGCGGTGGATGATGTCAGACTCGCTGTCTGCACTTTCCACTCCCAGAATCCCGCCAGGATGAACCATGTTTTGCCTAAGGTAGCACAGTCAATTCAGGAACAGGCAAGCGACACAAGCACCGTCGGGGCACGGTCGGCCATATCCGAGGTTCTTACTCGGGGATCCCAAGGAACGAGCTCCAATGCGACCATTATTTGGTCCAACTAACTTAATTGTTATGATTCTAGAACATAGCATGGAAATAAACACATAACATCCAAACCAATCACTCCGACACGGTCCAATTAATACAGCACCCTCACTTCACGCGAAAGGTTGCTTTTATGTCCATAGTAGTAATTAACGTATTGCGCGAAGTGGAAATTCAATCAAATCGGGTTTCGATCCGGGGGGTCCGGTTCGGTAAGGGTGGGACAGGGTTGTCCACCGGTTGCGGATCACCTTAGGCATGCTCGTCTACAGAACAAGAGCCATGGCGCCCATGACCAGACCGGCAACGGCGGTCAGCGGGGCAGTCAGGGCGGAACCAGCACCGGGGGCGACAGAGGCCGTCGGGGCAGTGCCGTTGGCCGTCGAGCTGGGGGTAGCGGATCCTGAGGGCGACACACTGTTAGTACTCGCCACTGGGGTGCTGGCGCGCGCACTCGACGACTGAGCGCCGCTGATGGAGGAGGAAGAGGTGGGTTGAGAAGAGGTGGGTTGAGAAGAGGTGGGTTGAGAAGATGTGGTTTGGGCAGTAGTGGAGATGAGGGTGCTGGCAGTACCGGTAGAAGAGCTGGCGGTCGAGGTGAGGGTGGTCGAGGCGGAGGAGGCGGAAGACGAAGAGGAGGAGGCGGAGGAGGAGGAAGACGAAGAGGCGCTGCTGGTGCTGGAAGAGCTGGCGCTGGAGCTGGAGCTGGAGCTGGAGCTGGAAGAGGCGCCCTTCACGTCGAACTGCTGCGACTGGGCGAGGATGCCGCTGTTCTGGGGCTCGTCGGAGACCAGGTTGATCTGGTAGCCCTTGCTGTTGGGAAGATTAGTCGGCTGCGCATTTGTACACTCCAAGATAGAGAACGTACCCGTCGGTCAGGCCGGACAGGCCAGAGACAGTGTAGGAGCCCTTGGAGGTCTCGACATCGCTGGCGATCTTCTGCTCAACCGGGGGGTAGACGGCGTTGTTGACAATGTAAAGATTGAAGTTGGAGGCGTCGGTGCTGACGGAGTCCCACTTGACAGTGAAGGAGTTGGAGACATCAACATCCTCGCCCTTGGTGGGGGAGGTGACCTCGAGGGCTACAGGCAGGCGTTAGTGACCATGTGCTTCGCAGGATGATCAGATCCACCAGAAGAGAATACATACCGCCAACAATGGCAGCCAGGGGCAGAACGGCGTAGGAGAAACGCATGGTAGCTGATTAGATTAGAGCAAAAAGTTGATTTAAACGGGTGACTGGGATGAAAAACGAAGGCGAAGGGTCAAGTCCAAAGAGAACGAGTGTTGGTGATGGTGATAATGAAAGAAAGAAGCCTGCAGCTGGATAGACCGGCGGAGGAGTTATATAGTAATATCGACGAGTTGGGATGTCTCAGAGATGGGGGAGAAAAAGTCTGTCTCCAAATCTAATGATTATTCTTTTTTCCCAGGTGGCAATGGGGCAAGGGCACCAAGAGGGCGGTTCCTCTCATTCCACTGGACAGGTCTGAACATGTCAACGAAAATAGATAAGACAGCAACCGCTAAAGCACCGGAGGGGCCAATAATACGGACGGTCCGACTGAGTACAACCTTTTACAACCAATGCTGGAGGGAATGTCCCTTTGTCTCCTCACTGCATCCGTGGTGATCATTTGGCCCAACTGGGAACGGTGGATCAAGCGGACCGGAGGTACGAGGGACGGTTTTGGGCCAAATCATCAAATGCCCTATCGAGTTCGTCGACATCTTTTGGTCCTCAGGAACCAACCACCGAATCACACCCTAACACAAACATGAAAACAAAAACACATAGACAGGCAGCAAACAGCCGTTACCGTACTCCATCTGACCTCCGGGTGCACACTAATTATAGCCGGAACTGTCTCACTCGGGACGGCAACGACAGCGCGTGGTTGGGTTGGCAATGTTTCTCCCCTCCAGGACCCTTAGTTGGTTGTTGGCAGGCGATGGCCCTTCATGAGGGACGGACCAATGGGGTGGGAAATGTGATTCGGGTCACTCCGACAGGTTTTTCATCGAAAACATTGGGGCAATAATAGTTGATGGACCCGTTATCTTCCCGAACGGCCGAGGAGGAGAGTGTGCGACTGTGCGTGCATTCGGCGGGTGCACACAATGGGCACGCATTCGGCGGGTGTTTTGGAATGCAGGGCATCCATCGTCAGACAGATTCGAAATTACATCATCATCATCATCATCATCAAGGTTTTCGCATGATTGATACGAACTACCATGGTGTCAAAGCATCAAAAGCAATGAACCCAGCAGGCTCGAAAGGGAGAATCCTCCGAGGTAGTTGTCTTGCTCGTGGTGGCCACTGACACAGCACAGCCATGTAAACAACCAGCTGAGAAGGGCTAATCTTAGCATCCATCATGGCTGACTCGCTATTCTCGGATCCCTCGGTCGGATAGAGGTCACGTGGTGGGGAAGCCTGCCAGCCGCGGAACAATATTCTTCCTTTGTATGCTTGCATCAAGTGTTTCGCTTCAGCGGCGATATCCCAATGGGTGCACATGTTTCTGGAGGTTTCTGCTACATGGTGGCGATTTTGTCGAAACCAGTCCTGCCCACAATATATTGGGTGGGTGTGGAGTACAGTAAGAGGTAGCATCTACAACCCACCGAGTAGCGGCAACATATATCTGTGTGACGACCTCGGTCTCCTACACCGCGAATCTAACACCGCCGAATATACTCCGGTCTACACACAACACCGAGACACTCACTAATACAGTCAACTCGGTGAACATCCATCTATTCCCTCAGTCGTAGTTCGACAAACGCCAGTCTTGGCCGTAGATCAGGGGCAGACGTAGTCAATAGCGCGAGTCGAGCAGCGAATGCATCAGCCCAGGAACAACTGCAAGGGGCAGCGATCGTCCTGCAAGGCAATCGAGAGTTGATATATCGATTGGTTCCTGCAGCGATAAGGCAAGCCATCGCCATAAGCCTAAGCCTATTTCGAAGTGGGGGCCTTACACTCAGCATGAGACTCTTCCGGCTATGGGTCAACTTCAAAATTGAGCGTGGTCGAAGGACATTGCAGGATGTTAGCCAGATACATTAACGGTACTGAGTGAAATGGAAACGATGCGAGGCAGTTTGATTCAGAGCCAGTCTGTTCTTCAGAACGTGCCGCTACACAGACTATTGCATAAGCTGATAGGACATATCTAAGGATACTTCCGTTTCGGTCCGAGGGACGTTCCCAACGGTCAGGTTGAGTTGGAATCCGCTCATCTATCACCCCAGTCGTACGGACACCAGCCTTTACACTCCTGGGCATTGGCCTTGCCCGGCATATAGACTCCATACAGGAAATACCGGCTCGGACCTCGGGCTCGATCGCAATATTGGTTCCTTTGCCACTTGCCCGGCCCGGATACTGCAGGACCGAGGAACAGAACCGAACAATCCACAACCTGGTATATTTACCAACTTGCACGTTACATGTCATATGAGATGCAATCCCAGTATTGTATTTAAGATACTTCTCATGTAGCTACTAGGTCGCTCGAGATAAGAGTCGCTTGCAGGCAAATCCGTGTTGTGCTTCCCTTATGGAATGTGTTCGTTCTGGGAATGCGCTGAAATTTTATATCAAGTCGTAGGGGATCCCAGAGACCGTAGTTCACATAGACACCTACTGTGGGCTTAGAACTCATACCGGTAGATTCGCCTGCGCGTTAGACCTGCGCTGCAGCCACCATCGAGTCGATCGTGAAATATCGCCTCATTTTGAATGAATCGGCCCGATCTGGTCACCAGTGGAACATGACATGCGCAGAATTGAAGCAGGTGGATTAACAATTGAACACTTATGTAGATGACATTTATGCAAGCGAATAAACCATAGCTTTCGTGCAGACATCAAACGACATTGTCCGAAATGCTCACTCCCACTTCTTCATCAGAGAGTTCCCCTCGACCTGACTGTCAAACTCCACAATATGCGTGGAATGGCACCAAGGCTTGATGGTCTCCTCCTTACGGATGACATCCGCAAAGAACGAGCACCAGCGCTGTCGCGGGTGCGCCTGATTGACCTCCTCCCGAGTGGTATCGTGGAGGATCGTGCTGAAGTTCTTGACGTGAGGGTGGTCCCCCACATTGTCGTAGAGGGTCGCCAACTGGATGAGCTGCCCGAAGAAGGTGATGGTCCCGTCTACCCCCATGTCCTGGTGTCTGATGATCCCTTCGGCGACTGCCTCGGCCTGGTCAGTCGTGGCGCCGAAGTCCTTGAGGACCTGCAGAGCTTTGATGCCTCCGTAGAGATCGAAGGACATCCGGGTGGCCGTCAGGTTCTCCTCGGCTGTACCGAGATCGTGTAGAAGACAGAGCAAAGCCCAGGTAGCAGGACTGAAAGTCGCGGCTTGCTTGGGGAACTGTTGTTTGGCGATGGCCATTCCTGCAGATCAAGATTAGTTACTGTGGATCGGGGTCGTTCAAACAGGCGTACCGTAGTAGAACACTCTCATCGAGTGATTGAAGGTCTGCGGATGGAGAACGGCCTGAGCATACTCCTGAGTCTTTGCCACGACGGGATCGTCGGAAGGAAACTTGATCTCGTCGATGGAGAGAGGGGCAGGTGCGGTGATGAAAGGCTGGTCCTTGAAGATGGCACCAGCGTTGACGGGAACGCTGGTCCAGCCGTTGAGTTCAACATCGTTTTGGCACATGTCGGCAGTGGCAAGAATAGATTGAGTGAAGGTTAGGAAGCTATAGATTGGATCCTGAAGAATGTCTGGGTCACTGAGGAGAGAAGAAGTTGAAAGTCTTTATAGTTCTCCGCAACCCCGGTCGTGATGTGCTCATGGTGACGATTTGTAATCCGCATGCTGATAAACCGCTCGTTTTCGAGCTTGGTCATACAATGTAGAAGCCACCTTGAAGCAGTCTTCCCAATCTTGGGACGATGATTAAGTGTCCACGGGGATATTCGATGTCTTCGTTTCCTTGCGAAGCCTCAGGCCGGGAGATGGCTCTAACCGGATCGGGAAGTCTTTTGGAGTGGGGCGAAGCCTGGCCAATCAACTACCGCATCGTGCGACCGGCGGGCAGCACCAAATGACGTGGACGGCTTCAATGGCGCTGCCAGGTGATTGAACTGGAAAATGGATGCTATACTCAGCATAATCATATCAGAAGCCAATCGCCATCTACTTGTCCCATACTGAAGATCCAATTGGACCTAGAATTCGGGTTCTGCTCGGCCTCGGCCCAGAATCGCTGCAGAATCTTCTCTGCATTGACCACATTGATACACTTGGTTTCGAACCAGAACCTGCGAAGGCAATCTCCCACCAACTGCCTCTGGCACGCATCCCGAGATTCCAGGCCTGCAACGAACAAGGGCCAGAGGATGCACTTGAACAGCGCCTCATTGCTCCGTAGCGCAGCAACAGTATTGATCAGCTCCCCGACTATGTCCTCCAACGGAGTCGAGTCTCCCGTGAACACATCGCAGACACGCCAACCGTAGATCGATGTCCCCAGTTTATAGGCCTGACCTAACTTCTCCAGAAGCGGGAAAGATTGTGCTGGCCCAGTGAAAGTCGACAGAGAAGGCTCAAGTTCCGTAGCCCAGACATGGCAGTCAAAGCTTTGCGTAGACTCCAGTGAGACCTGGATGGTTTGGAGCAGCGAATACGCATCGATGGTGTCAAGGCATTTGGAGCTCGCCAGGCAGTCCCTAGCTGCCGAGAAAGACCGAAGAGCATTCAGGAAGTATTCCGGGCAACCCAAGTAAGCCTTGTCAACGCTCATTTGGAGGGCCGTAGACGGTTGGTTGGATTCGGAGGTGGCTAGTAACCCAGGACGCGTGAAGGTCGTACCTAAAGTATCGATTCTGCAATGACACCACCAGTTAGCTTATCTCAGTCAGACGAAATTGAGGCTGTTGAGAGATATCGTACAAGTACACCTGTCGCATAGCGAATTCGCACATCCCTTGGATGGTTGTTTCCGGCTCCCGCGAGCTCGCCGGAATCTGAATCCCCGCAATGAGTTTCTTGACCCCTTCGACGTGGAAGTTCCATTTATCATTTCCCGACTCGAAAAGGTCCAGAAGAATCAACAAGAATGCGCTGATGATCGAGATATCGACCGCAGTATTCCCGTCGCCTAGAGCCTCCGAAAGCCCTTTGATCGCCCGGTATTTGTACAAAGAAGCGTTGTAGCGAGGCTTCAGAGCCCGAGAGTAATCTCTTGCTTGGATCTGCTCGAACGTCTGGGTAGCGTTTGCTCGGTGTCGCGCTGCGAGAGCGACGACGGATGCCATCAGCACGGGATGGGCGATAGCCGCGGGAATGAGCTGTCTGAGGGGATTGCGTTGGCTGTCGAACATGACAAACAGCTTGCATACGCATTTGCTGTCTGTCGTTGATGTCAGCAGCACCTCGCGACAGGATCTTGACCAATAGCTCACTGACAGTAGTTCAGGTAGTATCGAGAATCCTCGTCTAGACCTCGAGTAACGGGCTCGTCTAAGCTTGAAGGTATGCGGAGAAGGGGGGTATCGAAAATTCCAGTATGCCACCGATCCGATCCGTTCATAATCTTCATTTCGGAGTGGGACTGAGGTGGGGATATCGTCTTGGATTGCGGCGTGTTCTCTGTGGGTGTGGAAGGCTTCGCAGTGCCGCGGAAAGTTGCGCCTTTGACCCAGCGAAGGGGCCTCTTTTGGAGGCATTCCAGCCCGGCCTTCTGGCACTTCTTACACGGGGGCTGGGACATTTGACACTCGACATGTCTGCGGCGACACGTGTAGCAGGAACTGTACATGATGCATGATCAAGAAAGCCCCAAAGGAAGATATGGATGGGAGATGAGAGGAGAAGGGAAGGGGCAATTGCGGGGGAGAATTGAGGAAATCCCCGACCGTGGAGGATCATGTAATCACTCTTATCTTAAGTTATCGCTGCCACAACATTAATTAAGCACATCATTCTTGTGCACAGTTGCAACTATTGACGACGTGCGAGCTTTGAACCCATCTCAAGCCTATGGCTGGCTAGAATACTCTCTCGTGTGCCAAGCGATACTCGGTGTCAATGTCCTGGATGATGTTGATCCTGCTGGTCCTCGTTGATGGCCTGAGTGGTCGAGACTAGCAGATCTACGTTCTTTCGAAGCCCTTTTCGAGAGGATGGTCCACTTCTAATCTTGGTCTGGATGAGCTCATGATCGAATCGATTCAAGGGTTACTGGTAGTTTGCAAGCCAGGCTCGACTTGACGCAAGCGCAGGGCGTAAAAGCGCAACGCGGTGGTCAAAGTGGCAAGAGCACCAAAGACAGTGGCCACAACGACTGGATTTTGCGAGAGTGCTGTTTTCAATGTATAAGCGATCACCCTCTTGACGCTTTCGCCAGTAGCTCATGAAAAGAGGTAGCCGGCCGGAAAGTGAGCAGGATGTTACTACATCCACTCTGAATCCTTTAAGGCGGCGCCTTCAAGTGCGACGCTTGCCAGTCACCTCTCTTGTTCATGAATCGGATCGCATGGATCGCACGTGGAACCGTTGCAAGCCAAATTATGCTTAGCAGATGCCGAAACTTGGCTTCATCGCTGGCAGTTGACTCTAACAGCCTATGGGAGGGGCTGAGAGTGGATAGCCTCCTCATCTGAATGCCACTCACGGTAGTTGTCAAGGGAGGTTCTTTCGTCCCATTGCCTACGAATGACCATAAGATCCAGTGAGTACTCCACTCATATCACGCTCTCGTTATCAGTCCGCGACGAGGCTGAGAGGCAGAGGGACGAATGCTCCCTACTTAAATCCTTGGACCACAAACTCGCCTCCCAGAACACGCCTCCTCCTTTCTAGTTCGACTCGAACAATTGCCCAAGACAGGATGACGACCGAGACTGCCTCGCTTTCGAATCTGCGTCAGACCTACGACTACCTCGTCGTGGGCGGAGGAACTGCGGGCCTGGTCGTCGCTAATCGACTGACCGAAGATCCTACTGTGAGCGTGCGGGTGCTGGAGGCAGGCGGTAATTGCGTTGGTGACCGCGAATTGCGGTGCCTGGATTAGCAGCCAGCACCTATTTCGACCCCGCGTTCGACTGGTGTCTTAGCCGGTCCCCCACAGAAAGGAAGATCCCTCATATCTCAACAGAAGCTGTCTCATGCACCCTGACACTCCCTGCGTGGAAACCAGGAAGCCCTCAATGGCCGATGCATCGCTGAACCTCGTGGGCGCACCCTGGGTGGTTCATCAGCCATCAATCTAGGAATGGCCATTTACCCCAGTTGATCCGACATCGATACGTGGGAGCAGCTCGGCAATCCTGGATGGGACTGGGAGTCGCTGTCGGGCTATCTACGTAGATCGCAAGCCTTCACCCCACCTTCGACCCGTAGCTGCTGGCGCATCCGCTGGACTTCAAGCTGCAGGCGCGTCATGTCCGCTGGATGGAGACCCTGGCGGCGACGGAGCCGATGGCCTCGCTGCTGAAGCCCAACGGCCGGCGACTGCACCATCCGGAGCGGGTGGGCGACCTGGCGACGGCGCGGAGGCTGACGCGGGACCGCATCGTGGCCCATTACCATGGGGTCGGGACCACGGCCATGCTGCTGCAGGCGATCGGGAGCGTGGTGGATGACAAGCCGAGGGTGTACGGGTGTCGCAATCTGCGCGTGGTTGCTGCAGGGGTCATCCCTCTGATCCCGCGGGGAAACATCCAGGCCACGGTTTTTGCGGTGGCTGAGAGGGCTGCAGACATCATCAAGGAAAGTCGACAATAGATGGATGATGATATTAGCTAACATAACTCAACTTGATTCATTGAGAAATGAATACGAGCACATCAGAGCATCGCTTCTCCCGCATCAGATCAGCGCAAGTGACGTCGCACATGCACATCAACAAAACCATAAATTGCCACCATCTATGCATATCATATCATATCATACACTCTCATATCGTACAGTCCACGCCACTTCGCGAAACCAAGAATCATCGCTCAAAAAGCACCAAGCCAACTACGCTAAGAAAACCGACAATAAAGCTACAGTCAGACAATAATAGTACAAGTACATCAAGCGTCGGGAGCGCATCGCACACTCCCCTCAAACATGCCCTAAACCACACACACAGTCCATCAGCACCAACCTCAACCCTCCAAGCCAAGTGTACAGCACAGCAACGAATCACTTACGTCCCAGCGGCTTGGCCCGTTTCGTAATCGACTTGACCTGGTCCTGTTTCATCTTTGCGGCGCGGGCTCTGCAGCACGAACACTTATTAGCTTCTTATACCAATGAAGCACCGACAGGAAGGTGAGGAGAGGAGAAGGAAGGGAAAGGATGGGAAGAATCATACTCGATGCGCGCCTCCTCATCCAGACGCCTCACATGCTCGCGGGCATCTTGCACGGCCCGGCGGGAAGCCAGGAGGGCGCGGTCAGCTTCACGCTCGGCGGCCTCGGCGCGCGAGACCTGCTCCTTGGCGGCGAGGACGGAGGGGTCTTCCTGGTGGCGGCGGCTGCCGAAGCTGAAGCGCGAGTGGCCGTGGGTGCTTCCGCTGTGGCCGTAGCTGTGGCTGCTGCTGCGACGGCGGGAGGAAGAGGACGAGGAGGAGAGGCTGGAGCGCGGGGAGGTGGAGTGGTGCGAGCGATGGGAGCGGTGCGAGTAGTTGTGGGTGTTGGGGTCGTCGATGCTGCGGTCGGACGAGCTGGAGAGGGAGTTGCGGTGGAAGAGAGGCATCTTGGTTAGGTTTCTTCTCAAGGTGGTAGAGGCTAAGCGTCGAGCGTTAGATGCTTGGAGGCTGAGTGTCAAGGGAATAGAGTATAAGCTTGTTGAAGTGGAGCTGGATAGTGTAGTGGAGAATGGGGAGGCTGGGGTTGGGGTTGAGACAGGCGTATATATCCTCAACTCCATGCTGAAATCCCATAACGGGTGTACGTCAGTGGCGCTATACACCTCAGTTGCTCTGCTGTGCGAGGAGGCTTAGAGTGTCGATCGCAAAGTGCGGTGGAAGGGCATCCTCGCTGTATTGTGCGAGGATACTTCTTCTCCAGCAGCAAGGGTTCGGTGGGATGACAGCATTGGCGGGCAGATAAGCAATCCTTAGTGGCGATGATGTCAAGCCCGACTGCAGCGCGGGACGATCCCTACGCGGTGGCCAATGCCTGCCCGACTCGCATTGGACGTGGCTTCGCCAGCTTTCGTATTCGAGGGGGTGGCATTCTGATCCACGACAGAGATGAGGTGGATTTGCTGATTGATTTTGCTGTGAGTGGTAGGGGTGAGTTGGACACGGGATGCTGTTTGACTGGAGTTGTATTGTGATTTGTCGGTCGGTGTAAACTTGGAGGTTGATGGAGCTCTCTCGATAGATAGAGCAGCGATAGGTCGCGGGGAAAACGAAACTCTTGTCGACGTTGGGGATGGGGGTTGATGGTGCAAACATATATTCGCAGTGACATATCAGGGCTGGGTAGCTTGTTCGTGCTCCATGCTGGATGGCGTAATGACGTTGTTCCTTGGGTCTTCTGAGTCAATCAGCCCCTTCGTAAACGAGGTCAACTTCATCATCTTGATGAAGGGATAAAATTTAGCGACTCGATGAGATTTCGATATATGAGTAAAGTTGGCCAAACTACGGAGGAGTAATTTATTGTGGATCAGAGGAGGGAAGATTCGCAGATTGTCGCCGAGTATGCAAGGCCATATACCAAAAAGAAATGCATTTTATCATAGAAGCATCATTGGTCTAGTGGTAGAATTCATCGTTGCCATCGATGAGGCCCGTGTTCGATTCACGGATGATGCACTACGATTTCTTTTTATTTTTTTTTGTTGCTGTTACAGCCCAGCCTAGGAACACTTCCCGCCCCCTCAGCCATCACGCAACCAGAGCCATGGTCAGCTACAGCAGCAAGTGCCATATAGCCTAATTTGAAATTCGAAGGTATTGTTACATCACGCCTGCCCGGTTCCCTCCGCACGTCTAAGTATCCCAACTTCCCGCCTCTGCAACCAACTGTGTCTACTACATTCCCCCAAGTTTAGCCACCAATCTACTCCGTCTCTGCAAGAGATCGGCACGATGCTTGGTCTGTGAGCCAATGGTGCACTCTGGAGCATCCCGACGCCACAAACATATTGGAACCAATGGTCGGCCATGCATAGAGTGTATGGCGGTTGGTGGTGCAGAGTCTAGATTAATGCCCGAGCGTTCGAGCGGGGTCATCCACTCGGCGTCGATCAGGGACTGCGATTGTTCCTTCAAATCCTATACAATATCCGGGGTAGTGGAGGGATTGACCCCTCAGCTCGGGCTAGAACAACACTGGGTCACCTGCCATCCGCTTGGTGAAATGGCGGCCGTGCAGAATTGGCTCGTTGGAATCACAAGTTACTGCATCCAGGTCGACCTGGTTAAACGTCAACCTCGGTCGGATCTAGGCTGTACTCATTGAGCAAGACACGTTGCCTGAGCATAGCGCCTGTTGGTCCTTCATGCTACATCACAGCAGTAGATTGTCTGCTCGCAAAAGACACATCCGTTGATGTTGAGTCGAGAAATGACCTCGAGAGTACCTTCCCAAGGTCGAGCTGAAATCCTTCCGGATGGCACGCAAGAGGGTCCAAAGAATACTCCAGTCAAACGAACCCTCACAAGGGGGGTACATGTTGCTGACTGAGTTGTTTGCGTTCGAAGGCCACTATGCATGGGTCCTCGGCCCTCACCATCGACACGTGAAAACAAGTGTTGGCAAAGGAGCGAAAGAATAGATTGATGAGGGGGTTGCATCAACGTGCGGCGCTATTGCGGAGAATGAAGCATCGCAGGCTGCAATGGCGCCTTCGACATCCGTGGCTATTCTGTGTTAGCGGTCGACTTCCCCTCGCAATGAGACGACCAAAGAGAGGACATGCTCCAACATGTGGGGATATTTAAAGGTGATCGATTCCCATGAAATCGACATCGGACAAGAGCATCACAAAATTATCAGCTCGACGAACAAACCAATCTTCTCTTCCAGCCAACTTCTACTTCATCATGCTCTGCAAGTCTCTCCTCGTTGCTGCGTTGGGTGTTCTCGCTCAGGCAGGCCCCATTTCCAGACGCGATGCAGCGACGGTCTTGACGGACCTGAAGACAATCTACACCGATGTGTCGACCCTCAATACCGACGTGACCGCCTGGACTGGCGACCTCTTGGCTGCCCTGGGCATTCTGACCGACTACAACAACGTCAAGAGTGCCCTGGACACCGCTATCACCGACACCGTGGCCGCCTCGACTTTCAGCACCGCGGACAGTGCGAGCATCACGTCCGAGGTGTCCAATCTGGCCGTGCTCATCGTCGCGACCCTAAACGAGATCATTGCCAAGGTAAGATCATTGCACCTGTCATAAAGTGCGCGGCGAGACTAACCAATTCTACAGGAATCCACCGCCGCGTCCGCCGGCGTCTCCTCCACCCTGCTCTCGTCGGTGGAGACCCTCAAGACCGAGACTGACCAGCTTGGAGCGGACTTGGAGGCCAAGGCCACCTCGACCGATAAGACGACCATCGCCTCGGCCATTGCGTCGGTTGATGCTGCCTTCGCCAGTGCGATTGCTGCTTATGAGTAAATCCTGGAGTCATGGGATGGGATCGAGCTGATTGCTGGACTTGGGCAAGTCGATAGGACCACTTCTCACTTTGGGAAGTGGAATGATGATTGTGATGCAAATGTATGCAGCAAAAATTGAAGATGATCAGACTGAGAGGCATAAATGCCATGGTAGAATTGTAGCCAAGCTTCCTCCCGGGTCGGGCCGCGCCAAATACACATACTATGCAGTATTCCGGGTTACCCCTCTTGCTCGAAGGTGGAGTCGGAGAGCATCATGCCCTTACTTTTGTTAGTCGCTACATGTTCATTGTAAATGCAAACAAGATGTAGAAGCTGAGCCTTAGCTGTCACTGGTTCAAACAGACCATTATCAAGGGCTGGTTGAGATCGTACTGCTGAACCTGGACCGGACAATGACTTTGGGCCTCATTCGCCACTTAGAAGCCTACCCTGATTGACAGTCAGGCCCAGCGACACCAGTGAAAGAACATCACGGAACTTACAAGATGCAGGGCTGAATCGCATGACCGCAAGATGCATTACCCCATAACTCAAAGATGCATAGAATGAACACTGGTTCCTTTGAGGTTGAGGATTCTTAGGCGCGGTTTTGGGTTCAAGATGTGGAGTGTGCGTATGGAGGAAGGATAAACATTAAACTCGCGTATGCGCGTGGGAGCCAGGAGCAGGTGACTTATCGCATGTACTGTATGTAACTTATGGTGCAGTTGGGTGATAAGACACCTAGCAAACTTCGGGCAGCTATTCGCCACCTCCTGCCTGCTTACTGCCATCCAGCTTCAGTAACCACTCCACGTCAGCCACGTGGAGACGGGTATAGTATATGGTAGCGAACATTTTCATGGGCCTGGGGCGCATGGTAGTAAAGCTCTATGGATAACTCTACAATCCACACCAATGCTTTACGGTGCCGACGGCCCAAAGGGGTAATATGCACTGTACACTGTACACTGTACATTGTCCATAACTGCAGCCCTAGTTCATCTGTCGCTCGGAAGTACTGTAGACGTCGTTCATGCACAGCAAAGCCAACTTGAAGCGGTTGACTGTGTCTGTATCACAACTGAACGGTAGCAACCTAACAAAGCGATCTGGACGCTTTGCTCTCTCGGCCTCATTATGGGCCGTTCTTTTCTCTTTGTTCATTAGGGTTTAACACTTCGTTCCATTTTGTTCCCCCCCCCTATCCGACCAGTTCTTGACCGCCACTCCTGAAACAATGTGCGAACCACTCGCATCGCCGCCCGTCAGGCAGGAATCGGCCCTCTTACCACAATTCTTTGTCGAACATCGAACTTCCGCCTCTGTAGCCGCCCTGTAAGCATGCAGATCCTATCATATGACACGTTCTGTAGGATCTCTGAGGGCGGGACAGGAATCACCATGAGTGGCAGGGGCCAGAGAAACTAACACGTCGCTTCAAGGTGATGAGCCTTGAAGTAGGTCCATACTGTCCCTTGGGATCTCTTTTGACCAACTGCCAGAGTTATGCTCGGTGATTTTGCCTGGTGCTAGCACATCGAAGACTTGCTGACGGCGTCCACATAGATGCAGCGGCCAATAAAACATATGATCGCTAGCGAAGTGTGATGGGAGTTTGAACCACCATGAGCGGTCGACACGGCCATCCCGGAAGGCTGAGTGCATCATCGCCCAACTGTCTCTCACGCACGCACTCTTTCGCCGGCTAGTCGTAGGGTAGAGTAAGTTGGAGAGAAAGAAAGAGAGAAAGAGGGTGTGTGTTCCAGCTCGATTGGGCAGGCAGTCGACTGTACGCTTACCTCTGTTACGGCCTTGGACCTGGAAGTGTGCGTATAAAGGCCGCAGCCTCTCGAACCAACATTGAGCGACAAAAGCACGAACAGTTCCCAACTCAACGTCTTCACGACACAAATCCGCAGCATACACTTCCTCGCGATCTACGACTGCTCGAAGACTGCTTTCTCCTCTCAACTTCTGTCACTTTTCTCATTTCCTGCTGTTCTTGCGCCAGAGGACCATTTGCTAGACCTTGTCTTTTCACCATGGCACCCCAAGACCGACACAGAGCTCTAGAGTCATCGAACATGGAGCGCGTTCGCATGGCTGAGTGGTTCAGCAAAGAAGATTACACGGTGGCCTGGATCTGTGCCCTGGCGCCCGAATTGGTGGCAGCAGCAGCGATGCTGGATGAAACATATGCGCCACCTGCGGCTTTCCGACAGGACCCCAACGACTCCAACGTCTATTCCTACGGACGGATAGGACAGCACAAGATCGTCGTCGCATCACTCGGTGCTGGCATGTCCGGTAAGGTACCTGCGAGCACGACTGCGACCAACCTCTTGCGCAGTTTCCCGAAAATCCGCTTCGGTCTGATGGTGGGCATCGGCGGCGGAATCCCAGCCCTGATCGTCGAGGACTCGACCGACGATATCCGCCTCGGAGATGTGGTGGTTTCTATGCCCCATGGCGAATATGGTAAGCTGCCGTTTTCGTTTTATCTCTAGTTCTTCGGTTGCCCCTTCCCTCGCTTCGTGGCAACGGCTCACACATTCCGGCAGGTGGGGTCGTCCAGTACGACCATGGAAAGATCGTCCACGAAGGTCAATTTGTCTACGCCGGATCGCTGGGGAAGCCACCGGCTATCCTCCTGAAAGCAATCCAGAGCGTCCAGAAACAGCATGACATGCGGGGCAGCAGCATCCCACAACTACTCGGGGAGATCCTGAAGGAACGGCCCAGGATGGACGTCAAATACCGACGTCCAAACACAGAAGACCATCTGTACCAGGCCGAATATGAACATCCTGCTGATGCAAAGAACTGCAGCCGATGTGATGCACGTCACCTGGTGCAGCGGCCGGCGCGGGAAAGCGACGAGCCCGTCATTCACTATGGGCTCATCGGCTCCGCGGACCGGGTTATGCTCCACGGCCCGACTCGTGACAAACTCCGCACAGAGAAGAACATCATCTGTCTGGAGATGGAAGCTGCGGGGCTGATGGACAGCTTCCCCTGCCTGGTGATCCGTGGGATCAGTGACTATGCCGACTCCCACAAATCGGACCGGTGGCATGGCTATGCTTCCATCGTGGCCGCAGGCTACGCCAAAGAGTTGTTGAATTTTGTGCCGGAGCTGACCCGGGAGCCCACGGCGGTGGAATTGATGTCGGTAAGTGATCGATGAATAAGAAGCCACCACTTTGTTTGTGATAGGATCTAAAGTGTAAGTCTTCTTCTAGGACATGTCCAAGACGCTGGATCAACTCCCAGCCCAGATGATGAAGATCGGCCAGGTGTTCCAACCCCTCGCGTCGCCTCCGCAACAAGCCGGGATCGCATTTCGAAGAGATGGGCTTTCGTCCAAGGCGCCAGGTTCCCGGAGTGGCGCCCAACGCCATGGGGCATCATATTCCGCGCCAGCAGGCCAGGCGAAGAGAAAGCGAGTCTAAGTACTATCGTGAGCGAACATGTTTGGGCGCGCAGCGAGATCGAGAGAGACTAGTTGAGGTCAGCGTACCGGGGCACCACCCGCAGAAGATGATATCCAATATGCAGTTTGCACACGTCGTCCGTTCGTCTATGATCCGTCCGACAAATGGATTATTCGGTCTCGAGCCGAGGGAACTGTTGGTAGAGATCAAAGCTTGTGATGAGAACATCGTGGTGTCTCCTGGAGACAATGTGATATGGCCATGAGGCTAGTTAGATCAATTTGATGAAGCTGAGACATCGGAGATACGGAACGACATTTTGAATTCATGGTGGTTGGTTGGTTGAACTAGCTAAGAGATCAACACGTGAAGCAACCTTGAAACGCCTCGGATCACGTGGACAGATTACTCAGGAACGCCGGCAGCTGGCCAGAACCCGAGTTGACGGGGGGGGATTGTGCAGCGCATGAGAAGCTGCTTTCATGCTGCATGGAGCTTTTCATTGTTTACGGGGAGACTGAAGTGACTCATCTGGTGCATACCACGGCTTACAACTTTCTTGACCGCTCGCTATCATCGCACATCTTTGAAGGATAATATAATATCACATTCGTGTGCTTGACATATCTCTCGGCCAGAAATTCTGAGCAAGGCTGGTGTGTCACGCGGCCCAAGCGTCACTGACGTTGTGGCATCAACAACAAAAACACCCAGAATATCGCTCAGCGCAGCTTTCATCCTATGACTTTCGCGGCTTCCAGAGGCTTTGAAGGCGTACTTAGACTGCTAATAGAGCATGGCGCTCGAATAGTGTATGAGAAGTTCATACCTGCACTTTTCGACGCCGTAGGGCGTGTCGACAATGGTGGTTTGGCTTTCCCTCCCAAGTGATGTCGATCCAAGCATTAGCAATGGCTGGTACCCTTTCTTGTTACATGTAGCCTGATGTGAAGAAGAGGAACTTGTCAAGCTCATTGCTGGACAAGATCAGTATCAGTGCTTTTGACTCATTGCTGCCGTGTCACGGGGTCACGAGCCCGTAGGGAAGCTTCTGCTGAAAAGAGGCGCGAATCCTAGCCTTCACGGCGGCGGTATCCATGTAATCATCTCCTCCCAGAAAGGTCACCGTGTCTTCAAGCCACTCTTCAAGAGCGGCGGCTACTTGTCTTGTGTGAACCCGACTAGACAGGTGGTCCTGGTTCTCGGTCGTTGTTCGCGTCGATGAGGCTGCCATCGCGTTTTGCTGTTTCCGAGGCGCGCATCGGAAAGCCAGAGATTGAGACGGGCATACGTCTCTAGTAACTGCAGCGGTATCTGGCAAGCTGGCTGCAGTCCAGTTCTTATTGGGCAGTCCGACCATCGACTGAGGTTCGCAATGCTTGCCAACGGCCTGCTCTGTCTTGCGCACGGGATTGTGCCCACCATGCGACTGTTCAGCTCCTTCTACGCGAGACAGCTAACCAAATACAGTTGGTCGAGAGCGATATCTTAGGGTCGTGATGTGCGTACGGCACGATAGGCTTATACGATAGTGGAAACATCGATGGAAGCAGTTGAGTGATTGAGATTGCACCGGATATAACCGGAGTTAGGATTAGCATCAACCCACCCTAAGACCGGCTTTTTCGCCTATCTTCTTCGCTCGACAGCCATATGAGATTTGAGTCGAGATCCAGGCGGCCTGTCGATGCTGACACGATAAATTTAAGATTTGCTGAGCACGATACGCATAAGCTCTGTCGGGACCTCGTCGCTCCCAGTACATCCACTTACTGCTGTAAGCCCACCGTTGCCCGAGAGCGCAAACCAGCAAATAGCCCTAAGGCAATGGACCAACGTACTCAGGCTAATTCATTTGCCCCCTTAAAAGTCTACGCATTACTTCTACTGATGTCTACAGGATGGCTGGTGTCGCAACCCGTACTTTGGTGATAATGGGCAAGGTGGAGCATGCAATAGATACATTCGTCAGCTTCATAACGTCATTTCCAAACCATCATAGCACATATCAACATCATGAGGCCTCATATCAACATTTCAAAGCACATATCAACATTCAAAAAACACACCTAAATTCCCAATTTGCCTCCAAAAGTTCAAACTCCAAATTCCCGTTTTGTCTCCATGACTCCGTCCAAGATCTCCATGCACCCAAAACTCCCGATTCTCGCATTTTCACCAAGACTTTCCGTCCAAAAGATTCATGTCCTGCAACAAGTTGAGTCCGACAACGCTCGGAGATGTATCACCTATGGTTGGAATGACACATCCCGCAATCAGTCGTGAGTCCGACGACACTCGAAAACGTGCCACCTATGGCTGGTATGACACATTTTCACAGTCCCCGTATCGTCCGAAAAACAGAACTTAGATCCGATCAACGTTGTGAGTAAGGCAGTACTCGCAAATGAGGCGTTCGCAGTCTTGACACTCATACAAGAAGAGGACACTATTGCAGATTTCGCATCCGGAGCCGCGTGGGCGTCCATGTTCTCTGCGCAAGAAAGTCACACAGGTGTGCCGTTCATTGATCCTATTTCGTGGAGGGTTGAGCGGCGCTTGGGGGGGTGCGCGGGGTGGAAGCGGGACTCGGCGGCCGGTGTTGTTTTGATTGCGATTGCGTGCTCGATGACGACGGCCGTGATCGCGGGGTGGAAGTGGAAGTGGGACGCGGCGGCCGGCGTTGTTTTCATTGCGATTGCCTCCTCGATGACGAGGGCCGTGGTCGCGAGGTGGCGGCATTACCCATTCGGGGTTGGCGAAGTGGTTCCCACGTTCATGTTGGGGGCAGTGACAGGTGCGCCATTTCGCGCCGCATCGGTAACAGAACTGTGCACCACAGCGACATCTATCACGCAAGCACTCGATGTTAGCATACCTGGTCTGTCCGCGGGGCAAGTCTCAAGGTTAGCTCTCAGGGATGCACTCACCGCATGTGATTGCAGCCCCGAGAAAGCTGCACGACTGCCTTGCACGAGTAACACCGTCGCCATCCTTCCTGCTCCGCGAGCGCCAGCGTGGCTTGGATGGCCGGATCCTCAGGGCAGTCGGCGTCAAAGTGGAATGGGTTCATACATCGAGCACAGGTCAGGTTGAGGCACCCGGTGCAACGGGCCCTGTCTCCTGTGATGAGTTCCGGTCGAATGAAGGCGCCGCACGCCCGGTTCCCGCAGTAGACGCGGTGGGCTGTGGTATGTTCAATCTCGCGGTGGTGGAAGGTTTCGATCTCATCCTCGTTCAAGAGGTCCTCGACGAGTGCAAGCCGGATCTCCTGGCCGCAGCACTTCGGTGGAAACAGCGATTCGTCGTGGAGGGACTTGGTGAAGAGCTGCTTGATGCAGTCGTGGCAGTATTCGTGGTCACAGCCAACACGAGTTACCTCGCTTCGTTGGAACTGGTCAAGGCACACGCAGCATTCGATATTTGTGGTGTTTCGTCCTCCCCTGGCTTCTTGGCCATCATTGTCCGTCATCGTGGCAGTGGTGGAATCGATATCGATAGATGAGATGAACGGTTTGATGGAGGATTTGTGGTTTTTTTGTATCTGGGATAAAGGACTCTCTGTTAGATGGATGAAGATGGTGATAGTTGATGAAAGATGGATGTGAAACTCACGTTGTTGGTGGACAAGAACAAAGGTTAATGGAAGAGAGATGGTTGAAGGAAGAAGAAAGGAAGAAAGAGAAGAAGAGTTGAAGATGGTGAGAAGATGCTTTTATGTTCGAGGCCTGAGACGCGAGACACCCGACATCTTGCTTACCAAGAGTCCTGGTGATGAAAACTGTGAATAAAAGCGAACTCATGAAGCTATTCACGTCCTACATCAACAGGCAAGCTGTGAGCTTGCACGACCAATCACCTACCAGAACCCAGCCCCACACAGCTCTACCATCACATGCAAATCCCAAAACGGAAATCGTGAAGCTATACCGGCTGAACCTGTCAATAGGCACTAGGCAGCCACATAACCTCATGAATAGGGGACAATAAGAAAATCTAGTTATTGATACGTAACTGCAGAGCGGGGAAATCTCTGTCAGTTGCGGGGTAATCAGAGTTTTATATCAAAATGGCACCAGCCCAGCTGCGATGAACGAGACTTTGTGGTGCCAGCCTGACTGATCTTTTGGCAGAGAGTTCTGCTGCAGGGGACGAGGACCGGGAAAGGCCTCTTCTTCCTTGATACTACGTGGCCTTTGGTGATTCCAGATGCTTGATGTCTACAGAAAACTTGTGTATACGAGGCTAGCAGCGAGGCCATGATCCTTGACCACACCTGCCATGGAGAAGTTGATGAGAAACATCAGCGATGCCAGCCGATAGGGGGAGGATCCCAGTGAGCAGCAACAGCGAGGTCCTTGATTGGAGCATGCTCTCGTCCTATCAAGACGAGCCCAGTTTTATGAATAATATGGTGATTGCCAAGCTTGATGAGACCGGCATCACCTGGCCAAGATGTTGGCCTCTCGCCTCTCGTCAAATGCAGAAATGACAAGACCGTCTTCATTCGAATGATATGACATGCTGACCGCTGGACCAAGCATTTGAAGAAGGCATAGCACAATAATTCAAACAACACTTCATACGATACCACAGGCTAAACGGAGCGCAGTCTCAGAGTCTGATACAAGGGGAGCAGAAATAATGGTGGATTCTGGTGGATTCCAGGTCATCTAGAGAGTGGGATTTGATGATGGAGGCACATATTCCCTCGCGGGAGCTGGCAAGCGAAGCCCAAAAAGGAAGTTATGAAGCCTAGAACAACCATCGCAATATCTCCTATACATGACATCATTCCCTCGCAAGATCCTTAAAACGATCGGGATAGAATATTGCTACGCGGAGTTGTATAGTACGTCATAGGCTTTAGTTGACTCATTTTTTTAACATAACTAACACAAACTACCACAGACAGAGCAAAGAAGGGCTTGATGACTCGAAGATACGCCAACCTGTTCCTACTCAGGAAACCCGCCTGACACACTTCAACAACTCTTGATGAATACTAAAATTATGCTCCGTCGGCGTGGCCATCAGCGGCTGCCGTCCCGCAGCGGTTCTGTTGCGGCTGATGTGACGATAGAGCGCCCCGAGTGCAGGCAGGTCGTAAGGCGACGTGATGACCAGCCCGTTCATGTGATGGAACAGAGAAAAGCCCGCCCGGCTCGGCGAATACCCGTTGCACTCAAGGTTTAATTGAAGCAGGTACGGGAGAGAGCACATACCGGTTAGGACCGTGGCCCAAGTTCCCGAGCGCAGGCGGACGTGGGTGAAGGAAATGGATCGGAGTGTATCTTGAAGAGCCTTCAGGAAGCGAAGCAGGCATTTCGAGGGAATTTCGACGCCAAGCAGACAAAGAGCGCGAAGGCGCAGCGATGGAAGGACAAATGTGTCAAGGCCTATAACCCACGTTGTGAGAGTCAGTGTCTCGAGATTAGGGGCGAGCCCCAACAGGCGGAGCACCCGAGCTGCATGAGACTGGGTTGCAGCAGCAGCAGCAGCCTCAGGATCAGGCGATCCTTGCGCTATGGTGTCGTAGTTGAGGCCGGGCGCATACAACACGAGGTGTCGGAGACGCGGCAGATTGTCGTTGGTATGGGGCTGTGATGAGGAAGAGATGGCGTCGAGGATATGCCGCAAGGAGTGCGCGTGCTCGAGGTGGAGGTGAACCTCGGACAGACTGGGGAGCTCGACGTCGCGCAAAGTCCTGGCGACCATGTCAAGATATCGGTCTCTATCACATGGCGCAGGGTCGCAACAGGGCTGGGCGAACACGATCTCTCGCAGACCCGGAAACCGGGGAAGACAATCATTGAAGCCCTGTTGTAGCTGTTGGAGATATCGAACGTCGTCGGCAAGGTTCGCAGATTTGGATTGCATATAGAGCTCCGGGTGATAAAATGCGAAACTGAGGTGCCGAACACAAGCGGCCTGGGGGCTGTGTGATAGACGTTCGAGGCGCTCCAGAGAATCTGGACTATGACCTCCCACGGTAAGGGCCTGGAAGAGTAAGACTGAGGCACTGCGATAGAAGACTCGACCGGTGAGACGTAATGCGGCCAGTTGACGCTTGGCTGTAGTAGTTGTTGCGAGAACGTGTTTTGGTTTGCCCTCTCTCAGGCAAGGCATGCGGTAAGAAGGCTTCGGCGAGAAGAGCTCCACCACGAAGGAGAGGATCTGGACGCAATGATTCAGCTCAACCCCAGGACTCGAGGGTTACCAAGCTTACCTGGTCCATGATCTCCGTAGGGAGAAGCTCCATCGTGGGGTTCGAGGATAAATGAATACGTGCGTGAGATGACTCCGAGCACTGCGGGTAAGATACTGAATGATTTGATATTTCGTGGCACCGTCGATGGAGACAAAAATGAAGAAGTAATTGGGTGGGTGTCCCTGCAACCCACGATATTATGGCATATGCATCTTGGCCCATTGACATCACAGCATGGGATCGCATTCTACACATCATCATTCTTAGGCAACCTTCCGAAACTGCCTCCCGAGGCCGCAACAGAACAAATCATCATGTCATCATAGCGGCGTCTATCAAAAGATCTCCTTTTCCGACAAGACTCCAACAGTTCGAGTCCCTGCCAACTGTACATACCTCCCCAGCGCCATCATCGGAAAGTAATGTGCATAGAGCGCATATCCAAGATAGAAAAAGTTCGGAAATCCCGTCCCAGTATACCGGCTCTCCTCCCACGTTGCTCCTTTCCCACTGCCTTCCTGCTTCGATTGCGTCTGAATGAGATAGCCAACACCTCGTTCGATAGCGGGGGCACTCGGAGCCAGATACGGCAGCAAAGCCATGACGGCCCACCCCGTCTGTGACGCCGTGGAATAATGATCGAGTCCGACCCGACTGCCGGACCGATAGGTCTGTAGGCTTTCGCCCCAACCCCCGTCTGAGTTTTGAATCGACAGGACCCATTGCACGGCTCGCGATGTCAAGGCGGGGATGCGGCTGCTATGTTTGGTGAAATACGTTAGACCACAGAGGACATTACTCGTGCCGTAGATGTAGTTGCATCCCCAACGGCCGTACCACGATCCATCCGCCTCCTGAGTTTGCGCGAGATACTCGATGGCACGGTCGGATGCAGTACGCATCTGTGACAGCAAGTCTGAGCCCGCGTAATCCGCAACTGGGCTCCGGAACAAGAGACCAAACGCTTCCAGCACCCGTCCCGTGACATCTGCCGACGACGGATCGCATAGACTGTCCATATCACTGAATGGGATCTTGTTCAGGAAGAGCGCATCGTTGTTGATGTCGAACGCGCCCCAACCGCCGTCTTTGTTCTGCATGCCCAGGATCCAGAGCACCGCTCGGATGACATTGTGGTGCGTGAGGTCGGTTCCGTGCTTGAGGAAGGCGATGATCGCGGCCGCAGTGTCGTCGACATCCGGGTACCAGGTGTTGAAATACTCGAAGCTGAAGCCTCCGGGGATGGTCTTGGGGCTGTAGACCTGCCAGTCGCCGTAGGGCTGCGTGAGCTGGCGATTCTGAATCCACTTGATGGCGCGGTGTAGTCTTTTACTGTCCTTGGGGTGGAAGGCATCACATAAGGCGATGGACATGAGGATTGTGTCCCAGGTTGGGGAGACGCAGGCTTGCATGCGCCGGCCTTGCTGGTCCTCCCATGCAAACCTCTCGACAGATTCCAGTGCTTTGACAACGGGTACATCGGTGAGCTGAAAGCCCTCCAGTGTGAGGGCCAGTAAGCCGAGATGCATAGGCGGGAAGATGCCAGCCCAGTCTCCGGAGTCTTCTTGATGGTCGAGGATCCAGGAGATACAGCTGCGACGACTGTAAGCTCTAGTGGGGAAGAATCGAAGTCCGTTTAGGAAGTGCAGCACGTGGTCGATAACCAAGAACAAAGTCACCAGCAAGTTCAGTCCAGTGCTACTCGCAGGCCGCTGGTATGGCACCGATTTATCCCCAGGGTCGAGCCACAGCTCATCCAAATATGTACCGTCCGCTGCACTCCCCGGAGGAAGAGGGTAAATCGGACGATGGTGGGACACAATCAGCAGGGGCACGATCGTGCTGCGTGCCCACGAGGCGAACTTGTAGATGTTGATCGGGGCCCAGGCGGGCATGAAGATGAGCTCCGCCGGCAGTTCGGGCACTGCGTCCCAGGGGAACAGCCCGAACATCGCCAAATAGAACCGAGTGAAGATGCGGACTCTGGCCACGCCCCCGACACTCCGGATATACTCACAGGCCTTGCGCATCGCCGGGTGCTCGGGTGAGAACCGGAGGATTTTGAGAGCGAAGTACGCCTCGGTCGAGGTCGAGATGTCACCGGGATAGTGGGGCGCAATTCCCCAGGAGCCATCTGGATTCTGCTGCGAGAGAAGCCATTGAATGAGGGGCTTTGCCTCTTGGGTGAGATCCAGGCCAAGAGACAGTCGCAGGAAGACATATTCGGCCGTGATAGTTGCATTGGACCGTAACTCGCCACACCAATGGTTGTCTTCTCTCATTTGCTCTATCGAGTACTGGGTTGCTTTATCAAGAGCATCGCGTGCGGCGCGAATCATAGGTCCAGGGCTTAAACCTGATGAGCCTGGCTTTGCCGTAAGGACCTTTGTGTGCATAGTTACTGTTCAAGATTAGAGTGGCAATCAGCAAGTATGGAGAAAACTTTCGGTGAATGGGATTGTCAACCAGGCAGATATACACCGGACTTTATCCCCTCTCGTGCGTGGAGGTGTCATTCGGTCACACGCACTTAAGTGACAACTGGACCTGTTCACGGTCGGCATTGATTCAAGCTATCTGCATGTATGGACTCGGATAGATTCTGATATTCTCATCACATCGGTTATTGCCCCATGCGGAGCCAGCGAAGGATCAATGGGCTTTGAGGTAGCTCGAGATTTGGAATCCTCACCACCATTTCAAGTCGATTGAAATTCGATCGTGACAAAGTCCAAGCCAAAGTGGAGCCCGAAATAACTGATGATTGGGGTGAAAGACAAAACTACTGCAGACCGAAAGAAAATAGTGCGGCTGATATCGTATTCGTGGTGCTGATGAGGTGATCCGAATATGATAAGCCCTACCCGGCTGGCCCAATCGCCTCATGATCGACACTCGGCGACCTGGTCACAATCACTAGGCTCAATGTGATTGAAGTGCCTGCAGGACCCCCACACGAGCTACTCAATGTATCATAAGTCTCGTCACGGCCACCTCGCCCCCGCGAAACCTGATTTCTTTCACCTCAGATTCGAGCTCGTCATATTAGTTGATTGAAGCCAGCCGTCAGCCCACCTAGCGACGGTGGTCGACAAACAAATAACATGATGTTGGTTCTCCTGGTTAGTACAATTTACCTCTTCTGATGGACGCAGTCTAATATGATCCAGGTTGTTGTGGCGATCTTTGCCGCCGCCGTGATTTACGATCGATACTTCCACCCTCTGGCCAAATTTCCAGGCCCAGCTATTGCAGCAGCGTCTCCGGTTTGCAGCTTCTCTCCACTCTTTCAATCACCAGTCTAACTTTAACCGAAGCTATGGGCAATGCACGCCCGGTACTCAGGGAGACTTCTTCCCAAGCTACGAGACTTGCATGAAAAATATGGTACGCTACCCATCACCTATTTCTGAGAACCATTTACCTGATTCCACACAGGCCCGGTTGTTCGAATCTCCCCCAACGAACTATCCTTTGCAAGCCCCCGGGCGCGAGACGCAATTTACAAGGACGAGTACACCAAAGGCTTCACTCCAACGCAGAACAACGTCAGTTTTGCGATCGATGTCGTGATCGGAGACACCACGGCGCAATCGGCCACCTCCCAAACAGACCATCGAAGTGTGCGGTCGCAGGTCAAGGGGATTCTGGCAACCTATCCCACACCAAGCCAGGAGCAGATTCATCAGACCTACCTGATGGAGCTGGAGGAAGAGCTGGACACCGCAGCCCGCGGAGGGACGCAATACGATCTGACGGCCGGGATGGACCGGCTGATCTGGCAGTGCATGGGGCATTTCTTCCTCGGTCATTCCATTCCCATCAGCACGAAAGAGACATTTGACTACTTTCGGCGGTGGGATAATGTGTACACCGCTGGTTTGGACTTGATGTTTTACATCGGTCGCTTGCCAGGGGCATCGGCCGTCGCGGCGGTTCTGCTGAGGACGATTCGGAATCTTATGACGACGGATTGGGTGCAGGTGAACACTTTCAGTCGGATTCAGGAGTAGGTTCCTCCCCACGAGATTGTCTGCTCGGAATGCGGCGTGTCTAATTGTCCCGTAGACTCACAGACCGAAAAGAGTTCCGCGAGAGCATTGTCGCGCAAAAGCTGGGGATCGTGGACGGGGCCGACGGAAAGCCCGAGTTAAAGCGCGCCATGGCACATATCAGTCTTCTTGTGTGAGGGCATCCCCAGTATGCCATTCAGGCATCTCCATGCTATAGAGCTAACAATTGTGTGAACAGAATCGGTGGATATGACCCTGTTTCAGCCGCCGCATCCGCCGTCTTCTACTACCTACTGCAACATCCCAAAGCGCTCGCAACGCTGAAGCACGAGCTCCGCACCGCTAGTCCCCGTGAAGAAGCTTGTACAGATGAAAAGTTGTCCCAGATCGCTTACCTGAATGCCTGCATCCAAGAAAGCCTTCGACTACAGCCACCAGTGAACGACGTGGGCGCCAGAATCTCCACCGGCATAGAGGTAGATGCCGTCTATGTGCCCAAGGGGGTGAGTCTAGCATCAGAATTACAGCTGACTAAGATTGATATTGATGTTATACGTAGGCCAAAGTCTTCGTTGACAAGTATTCGATCCACCGATCTGCAAGGTACTTCAGAGACCCCGAACGATGGGACCCCGAGCGGTGGCTTGCCACCACCCCCGAGTCGGATTTGGCTGCATTTTCGGCCTTCTCGGTGGGCACCCATGCTTGCCCGGGCAGAATCATGGGTCTGCGGGTGCTGCGTCTAACTATCGCGAAGCTCTTGCTGAGCTATGATTTTCAGCTCGCTGATTCGAAGTTTGACTGGGATCGCGATGCGCATTGCTGTCATGTGTGGCAGGATTTTCGTGTGGATGTGAAGGTTAGCAAGGTTGGGGCTGTACAGTAGAATTAAAGGCATGGAAGCTGAGAGATCTGATTTTGACGAGAGATGGGCTCATCTTTATGACTAGTCGACATATCATGAAAAGAGAACTAGAGATTCAGTTGCCTAGACTAAGATAAGGAAAAAGAAAAACAGGGAAATGACCAAACGTCTGGTTGTCATTCGATGCGATCACGTCGAATACCTCAACGCTTATCAACCTTGCGCTTGACAAGTCAGATAAAAACCTCTCTCTGCTATCCACAGGTTTCCCTTATGTGAAGTAGGGTAGAGACTTGGTCCTGCCCTTGGAAGTTTGCATGAGTGTAATTGCTTGTAATCGAATGTTCGAAGGAATCTCTGGAAGCCAGTGCGAACATCGTTGGCCAACAGAGACCAAGTTCATAGTCAGGCTGATGAGAATCCACACTCACCAAAGATTATGCAAGGAACAGCCAACAGTGTGCTCGTGATGTTATACCGGTTGCCAACCAGCACCAAGTCTGCACCCATTCCTTCAATTCCGGCATTGCCCAGATTGATCCGATCGACATATCCACAACGCTCCACATCGCTCCACCTCGGAGAGATCCCGAACCAGCCTTGCGGCGGTCAATGCTTCAAGACCCTTGTTTGACTGATGCGAAATGGAGGTAACGCGGGCGAAGAATTTCCGTCGGGATGCTACCGATAACGAGGGAGGAGGAGTTAACATGACGAAATATGCCTGTCTCTAAACAACTGACAAGAGGGGAGTGATCACTGAAAATGTTTATGCAGATATAGAAATCAGCTTGTCGTGATAAATGTGCTCATATTTGAATTCGTCTGTATACCTGAGCTTGTAGCTGATGGTCCCTAATCCTTTTTCGAATGCTATGTACCATGCCCGCTGTTGACGACTGGGTTCTTTGTTTGTATAGGCTAATGAGATGAGGATCAAAACAGTACGACAACCAGCATCACATTTCAAACAGTCTCAATCAAAAGGATCCACAATCAACCTCTCTTCCCCCTAACAAACGACCGCTCCACCTCCTCCAACGACTTCCCCTTCGTCTCCGGCATCCACACCCAACACACCGCCGCGGTGACGAGCGTACACCCGCCGAACAAGAAATACGCGGCGCAGCTACTCTTCGCCAGCAACACCGGGGTGATCAAGGCGACAAAGAAGTTGGAGATCCAGTTGGCGCCGTGGGCGAGACAGGTGGCGGAGGCGCGGGTGCGCTGGGGCTGGATCTCGGCGGCGTAGATCTTGCAGCTGACGGCCCAGGAGACGCTGTAGATGGCGGCGAACAGGTAGATGGCGACGATGACGACCCAGCGGCCGGCGCCTGTGGACTCGTGGACGGCGTCGGCGGCGTACAGCGCGCCGATCACCAGCATGGTGGCCGCCAGCCCCAGGCCGCCCAGGATGACGTTGTGGCGCCGGCCCCAGCTGTCGGCGTAGATGAGCGCGGGAACCGTCACGGCGAAGATGACGATCCCCGACACGCCCGAGGCGAGGAAGCTGGCTTGGTCGGAGGTCATGCCTGCTTGCTCGAAGAGGAGCGGGGCGTACTATTTCCCTTGAATTAGTATGCGTGATGAGGGTGGTTGGGCGGAGAGGGAAGGGAAGAAAGATCGTACGTAAAGGACCCCGTCAATCCCGGCAAGCTGTTGCATGGACATCAGGAATAGACCCAAAAACGTCCGGTTGCGCACGTCCGGCTTGAACGCGTCGAACAGGCTGGTCTTGTGGCCACCCTTCTCCGGGACCGATCTCTCGCTGCGCTGCGAGAGGACTTGTTCGAGGGTATTCGGGGCTAGGGTGCTGCCAGTCGGTGCCAGCGGGTGGGTGACAGCCTCCTCGTGCACGTCGTAGTCGTCTTCCTCGCTTAGCTCCTCCCGATCCGCCGGGCTGACTTGGAGATACTCCCAGGCGCGCGTGGCCTCGTCGGAGCGGTTGTGGAGGGTGAGCCACCGCGGGGACTCGGGCAGCCACAGGAACGCCGCGAGACCGAAAAGGACGGAGACGCCGGCCAGGAGGGTGAAGGGGGTGCGCCACGCCATGGACGAGTGCAGGCGCTCGCAGCCGTAGCAGGTGAAGAAGCCGACCACAAGGCCGACGGTGACAAAGAGTTGCGGGCCAGTGGTGAGCGGGCCTCGTTGCTTCGGAGGCGAGATCTCGCAGATGTATCTGTGGAGATAGGTGGACGCAATCAGCAACTCTTCCACTATGCGAGTCGCAAGTGAAGAGGTCGACTTACACAACCAGCGTCCCTAGATACAGACCCTCCCCGAGTCCCTCCACGACACGGCCGACAATAAACATGGCCAGATGCACGGCGCCCGCTTCGATGGCCGCTCCGACCCCGAAGATGAGCGCCCCCAGACTGATGGCCCTGGGCCGTCCAACCCAATCGGCCAGTTTGCCGCCGAAGAACGAGGAGAAGGCAGCGGGGATCAGGATGGCGGAGACGACCAGCCCGTGAACGATGGACGAGAAGGAGCCGAATTTCTGCGTAAATTGCTGCATCACAACTACTGATCCGATGATGCCGGTGTCCATCCTACCATCCAGCCAGTGGTCAGCGACTGTTTCTCTCGGATATAAGCGTGCAACTCTTGAAGACAGCACCCACCCGAACAGGAATCCCCCCAGGGAGCATAAAATGCTAGCCCAGACATAGCGCGATAGATGCACGATCAGCGACATGGTTGCGGTGTGGTGTCCCTCTCGCTCTGGAAGATAGTGCTGGGATATATCTTTCTACGAGTAGACCGTGCCTGAAGACGCCGTTTATAAGCCTCGAAGGCTTAAGTGACCCTGAAGAATTTTTTTTTCCAGGTGGGATCTACACGTTCGCACAACATCGTCACACTTCGAGACCGCGATAGGCGAAGGAATTGGAAGCTCGGGAGCGATTCCTTCACTCTCGGGAAGATCGCCTCTTTCTGCGGCGTCCGGCTCTTATCGTTTATCATTTATCGCTTGAACACGAAGTCAGTGGGGAACAGTGGATTGATTAGATTAGTCCAGCCAATGGGTCTAGACCTTGTTGTCATCCAGCTCGGCAGAATTACCTTTGCTTTCTGGGTATGCTCCCCACTACCTAGTACTCGCAAGTATGAGTAAAGTGCATTGCAGCTTCACGTCATAGGTATTTGTAAGCTATTGCCAGCGCATCGAGGCGCACAGTTCTGACTGCTGCAGGTAATTCTTTGCGAGAGAAGCATATCGCTACAGGATTTTGGACGAACAATGCACCGCAACATGTGCGAAATTCTAAGGGGCTCTAGGGCTGCCTGTACCCGTCATCCGCAGCAGACTCGCTCAGCCCTAACACTGAGCCACAGACACCTCTACCCATATTATCGCCACCCAGAAAAAGCGCCACTACATACAAAAGCATCATGCCAGCGCTCCCCCAGCCGCCCACTGCCGCCGCAAGTCCTGCACCCGATACTCGGTCGCCCACGTCGTCTCGCACTCGACCCGGCGCAGCAGATCCACCACCAACCGCCGCTCGGGCACTCCCTCGAAGCACTGGCCGGCCACGAACAGGGGCTGCACCGTTTGCGGGAGCATGGCATCCGGCAGCCCCGCCAGACTGATGCCGCAGACCTCGCGGGCGTGGCGCACCACCTCGCCCGCGATGCGCCGGTAGTTGTGCAGGCGGGCGGTGACCGTCGACCGGATAGCGGTGGCCTCCTGCGGCATGTTGCTCAGGAGCAGGATACGCGCCATGTGGTAGGTTTGGATGGTGACGGCGCACATGGGGACGGTGAAGACGATTGCGTCGATGGGGTTGTTGTCGTCGGAGGCATCGGTGTCTCGGTGCTCGGGGGCGGGGCGTCGCGCGATCGGTCCGGAGTCTGTGGAGAGAGACAGGCGGGTCCGCACGCAGGGGGTGAAGGAGGCAGGCAGGGTGTCGTGCCAGGCGCGGAGCTCGAAGTCGAGTCGCTGCCATCGTTTCAGCAGATCCTCCTGCGTGGTGCCGAAGGATGGCCGCTGGTCCGGGGGGCTTTCGTAGTCGCCCGGGTTGATGCCGTCGCCGCTGGTGATGTAGTTGATGATCTTGCCTGTGAGCCAGATGAGAGCGTTGCTGAGCGTGGCTTCATCGAGCCAGGGAGTTGGGGAGGAGACATGAGGGGAAGGCGAAGTGGAGGGGACGGCCGGGGTGGTGGATGCTTTAGACGGGGGCAAGAGGTGGCCGTATGAGGAGATGCTGAGGCCGAGATTACGCCAGAGGATGAGATCGGAGAGGTCCAGACGGGTTTGGGTCTCGTTGATGACTACGTCCACGGCATTAGAACAGAAATGTATGCGGAATCGCACATGGCAGGAAAGACAACCTACAGGCGGAGAGACAGTCCTGCCGGTAGAGACTCCAGAACACGGAGCGCGAAATGTGCAGCAGGGAGTCAGGCAGCGTCTCTGTCGAGCCAAAGGCATCGGAGCTGCCACAGTACAGGTAGGGCAAGGCGCTGAGGTGAGCCCGCCATTCGGTGCTGGGGGCATCGCTCAGCTCGTACGTGCCGAGGATCGCGACCACGGCGAACATCTCCTCGCGCCGATCATCGGGGATCTCCAGCGCAATGGCCTCTTTCAGGTGGTGGATGGCCTGGTCGTAGAGCCGCACGGATTCGTACTTCCAGTCGATTGCCCTGATGATCCACTGCAGCGGGCTTTTGCGCAGATGGGGGAGCTGCGATATCCGCACGGAATCCCCTTGACAGAGGCGGTGCAAATGTTTGGCGGCGAGGGCACAGGCAGCCGCCCTCAACATCGGCCGCGTGGCCGCCATGATGGGCACCTTGATCGAGTAATACGCATTGGAGTCGAAGCTGTCCAGCCACTGACCGGGAGCTGCCTGGAAGTGTTGGATCAAGACAGCTGCCAAGATTCCATTCTGTTCGGGTGGCACGGGGCTCCGAGCAGGAGTCGGGACAAAACTCTCTTCAGCAGCAGCAATTGTCGAAGGCGAGGCGACTACTAGGTGGTTTTCATGATCATGATGGTGCTCATCCAAAGGGGATGTCAATTCTTCGTCGGCAAATGGGTCTATGACCTGAACAAAGGTGACTGTGGGGCAGGGTCAGTGCTGTTCGCTCATCCGTGAGACCGGAAACCACTGTACGGTGCGAGGGGATTGGGACCCATATCTGAGGGCCTTGCGGAAGCCAACCGCCCCCTACGTCGCGGTAGAGATCGTTGACGCTGGAGTGGCGAAAGATGCAGTTGCTGGAAAAGACACAGTCTCGAGAGGCTTTGACACAGGGGCCGCAAACTGGCCGTGCTTCGTCGCATTTAACCTTGCGCTGTCGACATGTCACACTGTGAAGGCAGCTAAGAGGTTACGAGGTGATCATCTTGGTGGCATTGGGGGGTCAAAGGCATGTTACCAGCCAAAGTAGGAGCGCATATCTGCCCGGAGGCATTCATATTATGCAATTCGAGGGCGAATACGGAGATTATCCAGGGAAAATAACAACAGATGCAAGGAGGCTTGATGTTACAGAGGAGATTTGGATGGGGAAATTGGGAGATGGCGGGGTAAAGAGGGAAATCCTGCCGAATTTCGCGGGGTGAAAATTTTTACTGCGGTTCAAACCGTGGAAATGTTGGCGATGCTCCACCGCGGCCGGGAATAGTCGGAGTACTATCACAAGACAGTGCGTCGGGCTATAATTCCAGTATTGAGTAGTCAGTTAGTCATAGCTAGTCAAGGTCTTTCTCTGGCAGTAGTGTCAACAGATAAATGTACTAAGGTAGTATATGAAAGGATCAAAGCTGGCTGGCATATGTCATAGATAAGTGAGTCAGGGCTGACTGATTGTCCCGGGGAAGGATGCCGAGCAAAGAGGGCAACCTTGCCGAACAGCAAACGACCCTCGTATCTTCTGCAATCGACTGGGCCATGAGCTGCAGCTAGCTTTATCAGATCACACTTTTGCTATCAGTTTTCTTCCTGCGCAGCCTGTCCCTGAACCTCCATCTCCCCCAAGGTCCTGAAGATCTTCACCTGCAAACACAGTATATCCTAACGCTTAGCAGGTTTGCTGTCCTCCAAGACGGCTACAGTTCTTCACGTATTCACCAATAACTTCAATATCAAGATCCGGAAGTTTGACGAGCTTTGGATTAGGCATCCGGATTACATATTCTCCCATACGGCGTGAGGGATGGAGATTGGTGATGGAGATTGAAAGCAGATCGAGGGAGTGAAAGGGGGAGGGACTTCAGAGGGAAATTCTATCCGATGCCTGAGGCATGAAGAATGGTCACATGACCCGGGCAGGGCTGATTCCCTCACCATCGGCAGACCCTCGCTCTCGCAGTCACATGCTGTACATTTTCGTAGCATAAAGAGGGAGCATATGATAACAGCACCAAAAACTTGAAATTTAGAGAAATTTCCTTAGTAAGTTGCCGCAATCCTGATCGATCTGGTTTCCGGCGGATGGCGTCGTCCCTTCGACCAGTGCAATTAGCAGTCTCCCCGAAAAACCCCTCTGTCCAGTCGAGCGCACAAAAACCGAATCTCCTAACCAGGGACCAGGCGCCTTGGCCAGCAAGCTAAATCTAGACCGTGGACTGGAACGGTCACTTCCGCTTCCGCGGGTCTCACGGGGATCCACACCTGAGTGATTTCTCCGCGAAGGGTCTGTGATTCGATCACCAAGGCAGCCGCACACAGCTCGGGGTGGTCGGCACCGGTGAGGGAAAGAGACGACGTTTTCCGGACTCAGTTGACCAGTCCACATGATAAGGAAGGGTGATGCTTTCCTAGATACGTGGACGCGGTGTGGTGGTCACACTATGAGTGTGTTATTTTCGTCTTGGAGTGGGGTGAATGGGCGATCCGGGTGATCCGGGATGGCTGGATGCCTCAGGCATGCAGGATCACACCCATTGAATCATGGCAGGAGTGGTTATGAGGTGAGGCACCGGTTGCACTTGTTGCCTAATGAATGTGGTGGGAAATTGATTAATACTCCGCTGTCTCGGTCCACTGAATCTGGTGTCTCGCCTAGTGGTGTTCAAATGCTGTGTACTGCACTACTGTCCAATAAATCCATTAATGCATTAGTTCAGCTCTATGATGCATATATACAAGCTTCCAGCTAAGTCCTCCTAGATTGCTGTTCTGAACCCCGAAACCATGAGGCAACACACAGTCCCCTCAGAGATACACGTAGCAGAAAGGCCCAGCAGTCGTGCTCATCAAGTCGCGCATGGCGATGGGTTGACCGTTGGCATAACCAATATCAATGACAGTGTCGAGAGTAGTGTTGGCCGACGGGGGGTTGTTCATGAAGGTGCCCGTGCCGGAGATGGCATTCTGGCGGTGCTTACGGTCGAGGTTCTGCCAGATCCACCAGACGCGGTCGATCATGCCGTGGTGGTGCCAGAAGGCCACATCGCCGGGGCTCACGTAGACGTCCCGACCGGGATCGCCGCCCATGGAGTAGTGGCCACCGCCGTGGACACCAATCGAGCCGCTGCCGGGAATGCCTTGCATCGTCATCTCGAAGTCCCAGACGTCGTCGTTGTCCAGGATCAGAGAGACGATCTTGGGGTAGGTGTTGTACCGACTGAGGATTTCGGTGGTCAGCGACCGCTTCAGGCACCGGGGGTTGTAGTCCAGCGGGTTAGCCGCCATCGAGGTGTTGCCCCCGGGCAGGGAGAGAACAGCCGGACCCAGGTTGACCTTGTAGTCCTTGAACGGGCCGCTGGTGATGCAGCCGCCACCGGTGCCGGGCGGGAGGTCAATGGCCGGGTAGTCACCCAGGTAGAGCATCACGTCCGGCTGATCGGCAATGGGGGCTCCGTTACCGGACATGGAGGTCTCACTGCCGTCAAAGACGGGTGAGTTCTCCATGTCGTGGGCGTCAGCGCCCCAGTCCCAGTAAGGGTAGTCGCCGGTGTAGCCACACTCGTCGCGCAGGGCGGACTCGAACTCGTAGATGAAGTAGCGGTGCCACGCCAGGAACGTGCCCGTGTAGTGGATTTCCAGGGTCTGGTTGATGTGCGTGGCCACGAAGTCGTCGTAGCGGGTGCGCGCCCCGGGGACCAGGTCGGCCGGGGTGCGCGAGGGCAGCTTCTGGAGGCAGAGGACGGAGTTGATGTACGCCTTCTTCTGGGACTTGGAGAAGGTACGCCACTCACGACGCACACGCAGCTTGTCCAGAGTGCAGGTGCCCTCGCTGCGCTTGGTGCTGTCCGAGGGAGTGGACAGGGTGTCGGTGGTGAGGTTGTAGGCAAAGGAATTCAGCTGTTCCAGCTGCGACAAAGCCACGTCAGTCGAGCTGGAGGCACTCGTGGGGAGGGTGGCCGTTGCTGTCTCGGCCGCGGGGAGGGCCCACGACCTTGAGAGCAGCAGGCCCAGAGTGAGAGTCTGGAGGGCGACCATGGTGGCGATGGCAGATGTCACACCACTCCTGGGCAGAAGGAAAAAGGAAGAGAAGGGAGAAGAGAGGGGAGAAGGAAAAGAAAGTTAGAGTTAAGGAGGCTGGGCGGGGAGTAGCAGGTTGAATGAGGGAATGATTGTCAATTTAACGGCGGCGCATCTCAAGCTATCTACTGTGTACAGCCAGTGCATCGATCGGGCCACCCAGCGAGCTATCTTAGCTGCATGCTGCACTAGGACTCGGCCTGATAGACAAGGAACGGAATTGTTAGGACCGAGGGAGAAGACGAGAGAACACAAGTCCCCACCCACCCAACCCCCACGCACTCAGCAGCATGGCGACCAAAGTCAATTAGCAACAACGTGCTGACTGGCTGGCCTTGGCCAGGGGATAGGATGTAGTGTTGCCTCGGGGGAGAACTAATTTGGATGACCGGGATTTGAGAGGCGGACTGGCGAGTACTAACCAGGGATTATAGAATGAATCACTTTTGGATTACTGGGTTGGTTAGGGTTGGAGATGCAACCGGCGACAGCACAAATTCATTGACGTCCGTCTCTCCAGTCAATCCTCGGTCCCTGTCCCCACTGCACTCCACCCGGGTCCACTCCGGCCAAAAAGTTAATCAATCTGCCCATCCACCCAATTTTAGGGGTACAGGGTGCGAGTGCGACACTGCAAATCATCTGCCCAAGCCGAGGTTGAAGCGACTTGGCAGGTCCGGTGGCACTGGCCGATCCACCCTGGGCTGGCTGGCCCTCCCTTAGGCGCACGGTCCATTGGCCAGGTTTTTGGTCCGTCAGTCGTGGCTTGAACTATGTGGTTGGGGACTAGGATAGGAAGAGTAAATGAATGACAAGGGTCAGAAAGAAGCATCGGTGCAGGCACCAACTTGGGTGGTGTACGGAGTATTCCTACTAACTATCAGATGGCCACCGTCCAGGGTCTGCTACCGGATCCTGATCGTCGCCCGAGATCGAACGGTCAACCGTTGGCTCCGGAAATCCGGTCGCGACCGGACGCCCATTTTTGGTGAGAGGGATCCTGCGACGATCGAATTCCTTAGTCAAGCGAATGCAGCTATGCATCCTGAGGGATCTTGATCCTCGTGTTCCTGACTCTTCCATGGTCGCATGGCGGACCCGTAGTTCATGCACCTATCCTTGGCATGGTCGTCACACCAGCTCTGTCTACTCCTGGATATTCATAACCCGGCCAAGGTCAAGCATCGCCCAGGAAATAGCTAGCTAGCTCAGCTCAGCCCAGTCCTTCGTTTTTCTGTGGTGAGCATGTCGACCATCGCGCATCCGGGCGGCGCGGGCCTTCCTGATGATAATCAAGGGCCACGCATTCTGGCGGCCACCAGCATTGTGACTGCTGGGGCTGCAATCACTGTGCTCGCCCGCATGTATGTCCGCATTTTCCTCATCCGCAATGTGGGGGTTGATGTGAGTGTTGTCTTCTGCCTCGCTTATACCGAAATTGATTGTGCTGACCAACCTCGAGGATTATACCATGCTGCTGACCATGATCTTGGTAAGTCACTTGGGTCATCTCTGTCTAGCCGGGTGATATCTGCAATACTGTACTAACATTGCGGCCATCAGTCCCTCAGCGGATGGGGAATCATCATTCCAGAAGTCATTTACGGCGCGGGTCGACATACGGCCTACGTCGAAAAGACGGCTACCAAAGCGATGCATCTGAACTTTGCTACCCAGGCGATATACATGTGGGCTATTGGACTCGTCAAGATCTCCATCGGACTGTTCCTGCTACGGTTTGCACCGCGCAAGGGCTATCGCATTTTCATCTGGGTTGTCATCGGTCAGTGCTGTTTCCACTATGTTCTAGCTCTTATCCAACTGACGACATATAGCTCTGATGCTCATTTACACCACAATCTGTTTCTTCGTACGTGGTGTTGGTTTTGCAGATGACAATGTGAAGCTGACTCCTGACAGACACTCATTTTCCAATGCCATGACATGCGGAGTATTTGGGATTTCTCGGTCAAGTCGAAATGCTTTGCCCCGATACAGCTGTTGAAATTGAGTTATACAAATACAGGTACGCATGTTAAACGAGAGATCTTGCTTGTCGTCCATTAAACAAACTTCTAGCTTTGAATATCCTGACCGATCTGATCTTTGCCATTCTCCCTATCTTCATGCTCAGGTAAGTCTAGCGGATCAGATCTATGCTGGAAAAGACGGAGCCCTAACACCAGCGCCCGACAGACATCTCCAAGTCAACAAACGAACCAAGGCTTCCTTGATTTGCATCCTAGGATTAGGTATATTGTAAGACTGCAAAAGTCCCTTTAAAATAGTATAGCAGCGATGAACTAATCAGATCCAATCGTACGTACAGTGCCTGCGCTGCAGCGATCGTGAAGCTCACCGTGCTTCCCAACTACGGTCGCACGGGCGACTTCCTCTGGGATTATTCTACTCTCACGATCTGGGTTGTGTAGGTCCCCCTTCAATACCCTGCACGTCAATCCTCCTCATACGCTAACAATACCCCCCTGCGAAGTGTCGAATCCAACATGGGCATCGTGGCTGGCAGCCTCCCGACCTTGAAACCCCTCTTTAAGCAAGTGCTGGGCAGCTACGGCTCACGCTACAAATCGCGACCCTACAACTACCCCCAGCATAACACATACGGCAGCAAGGCCTATCGTCTGCGCTCCATGTCCCGCTCGCAGCAGCACGGCCAGTCGCAGACCCAAGCCAGCCACCACGACCCCGAGCCCTTCCCCAAGAAACCGACAGCAACCGCCACCACAACCACTGCCACGGCGACCTCGTTCCCGGGGCACGACAGCAGCGATAACTCGAGCGAGGAATACATCCTCTCGCCGCATGAGCATGACACAATCATGCTGACAACGGAGGTAACCGTGTCACATTCGATGCAAGCCCAGGCGGAGCGGAGTCGCGCGGCGGCTGCATTGCAGGGTCGGGGGTTCGATCGGCTGGGGCCGGGGATGGTGTAGACTTCTTGGATCCTTGCGTGTTGTGTCTTCTCTCCTTTGATCCCTCCATTTCTCCTCTAGGCACTTCTTTCAATACTAAGTTTCCTTTGTTTATTCGATATCCGTGTCTTGTTAATGGAAGAATGGATACATGGGCTCGGTATCCCGGCTAGGGCGTTTGGAAAGTGTGCCCTAGCCCCAGGAAGGTAAGATGGGTGGACGACAGTCAAGCAGTGGAAGGGGTCATGCCCAGCAACAAAGAATCCTGCTTCTATCCGAGATTAAATCACTTTTAGTCAGAGGTCGGAGATGAGGTTTGCGACTCACCGACAGATAACCTTTGTTTGCTTCATTCACCTAGCGGGAGTGAAGGCAAGGGTCTGACTCGCTTAACCAGGATAGACGGGAATTGATATGAATGACCCGCGTACTCGTGAAGTGACCGGTGCATGTGAAACCGGTTCGCAATATATGGGTGGAGATGCAAGCATACTAGCCTAGCAGGGGCCAATGTTCGCTTGGGTGGCGGAACATCACATCCGACGGGGGAATTGCGGGTCTGACAGGGGGGGGGTGCGAGCCATCGCAATTACGGCACCATATGAATTGCTGGTACGGACGGCCTGGTCCTACGACTTTAGCGCTTACTGGAAAATTCCTGGTACACAGCTCGCCTATGGATGAGATTAGGCTAAAAGACTAGATTAATGTCAGTGAAATCTCACAAAATGCTTGATCCAATGCAAACAAAACCCCTCACTCAGAAATAGATTGACCGTTCCACTCTCATGCCGTGAGCCACTATAGCTACTCCGTATACCTACGTGTTTACAATGCAGATGCCGCGTAGTGAGAAACAAACCCTAGCAACAACCACAATCATCGTCGCTTCAAGTGTAGTCCCCCAGAGCATTCCGTCGAACCTGGCGCATGTCCACATAATCCGGCCAGCTGCAATACCACTCCAAGAATTCTGGAATCGAATCAAACAAGGGTCTGCGCCCGTACAGCGTCGCGGGGTTCTCCTCGCTCGCCTCGAAGAAAACCACCCGCCACGCCCAATGCCCGTACGCGGAGTCCGTACCATTCTCCCCGATCACCCGACAGTACGCATAAGCACTGTACCACCGATCCTCATGCATCCAACCACCACACCCTATCAGGAACCCAACCTTGACCTCCAGATCATCATCAATCGTCCCATGGAGCCCCACCTGACCGAGGAGACTATCCTCCAAGTACCCTCTCAGCGCCTCCCGCTGCGCCTCCAAGTCTCTGAAACCCTCCACCTCCCGCTCTGCCCCTTCCTCTACAAACGCATACTCAGGCACCCCAATGTAGAACCCCGGCACAAAAGGCGCGATCCCCAGACGCCGGAAATCCGGATCGCAGACCCCGTTCGCGTATTTCAGGAAGAGCACTAGCTCCTCACACCGCGGGATCGCATCCGCCTCCTGGGCTTGGCCGTCATCAGCCACCGCCGCGGAGCACACCTCGTGGAATGTCTCCAGGTACATCTGCCGCCACGCCTCCGTCCGCAAGCGCGGGGGACACACCCCGTCCATGTACTGGTGGTACAGCGACGGCACCTCCGCCAGACTCGTCACGCCGCGGACCTCGCGGTCTTCGCGGACGGGTCCGGGCGAGACGAGATGGTTCCAGTGCGGGTCCGGCCCGCCGATGCCCAGATGGTCCCAGTAGTCGCGCATCCGCTGGAGCTTGGCGGCTTCGGTGGGGAGGTGCAGGCCTTCGATCTCGGTGACTCGGTCCTGGAGGAAGCGGCGGTTGGCGGTTTCCATTTTGTGGCGGAATTGCGTGATGGCGTGGCGCATGGTTGCGTCTGCATCTCTTTCGGTCTCTGCCATTGCTGAGGGAGAGGTGTCAAATAAGTGGATGCACAGTGGATGTACGGAATGAGGTGCTCCGTGCGGACGGACTCTTATGGATAGTATATCTGGTATCTTTGGTAGTTTTATACCATTAGGAGATGACTCCTGCTTGGTGTAGTGTGGCCTGGGAAGGATTGTGTAGCCTAGAATACCGGATCTAATCAACGGGCCCCAAGGGTCATTACCCCGCCATGCTCATGTCAGATTGCCGGTTGGGACCTGAAATAGGCCACAGCCTACTAAATCGTCCTTTTTTTTTTTTCGTTTTTTTTTGCAGGACGCTTTGAGCTTTAACTGAGCAGACCATCACAAATCTTCAAGCCTCTGGTGCGGTGCAGAGGTCGCTTTCGTCATTCCCTTGGAACTCATTCCCTTGGAACATATGAAGCCTGCCTAAGACGAGAATAAGTGACCAGCCACAAGCACATTGCGCGGGCTACAATGCCCCAACCAACAGTGACAATGCGCTTGGACACACATCTGTTGACTTACACATGTATTCTCTGTGTAGCCCGGTAGAAAAGACAAGTGGATGGAATCTTGCGCGGTCGCGGGGTAAGATCGCGCTATAAGAGATTTCAAGAGGCACAAAAGCCTTGGCATGATGCAGCGCGATGACGATCGGAGGTCCATGCCTTGATCCCCCGCCTTGAACCCCTCTTCAAAATGCCATTGTTCGCTGTAGTTCCCACTCTGCCGGTAGATGCACAGCATCTCATGGGCCTGTTCTGGTTGCTATTGGACATATGATATTTTGACCGCGCTTATTAGAGTGTTCCCCTCCTTCTCTCGCATGGCGCGCGTGGGCGGGCGGATTTATACGGATTCCTAACTTAAGGGGCACCGTATATAAATCAAGTCTTGAGAGACCAAGGATCACCCCCAAGCAGTCCCCATCTCTTTCCCCCAGCCTACTGTTCTCTTTGCCAACCACACACCTACAACGATGGCAACCCAAGTCCAGGTCGAAAACGCCCTACTCGTCAAGGCCCGCGCCAGCGGCAGCAAGGAAGACTGCATGGCGCTCTACGACACCTGGGCGACATCCTACAACCAGGACCTCACCGATGCCTCCCAGAGCTACGTCGCCCCGTTTACCGTCGCGCAAGCCGCACTCCAGCTCACCAAGATCCCGGACGCGCGCATCCTCGACGCGGGCTGCGGCACCGGCCTCGTCGGCGAGGGCCTCACCCGAGGCGCCGGCCATGCAACATCACTAACCATCGACGGCCTAGACTTATCGCCTGCGATGCTGGCGGTCGCCGCCAACACCGGGGTGTATCGCACCCTCACCAAAGCCGATCTCACGCAAGCAATCGCCCTGCCCGCCGAGACCTACGACATCGTGACCTGCGCCGGCACCTTCACCCACGGCCACGTGGGGCCGGACCCCGCGCTCCGCGAGTTCATCCGCATCCTGAAGACAGACGGGCTGATTGTGGCGACTATTCTGGACGAGGTGTGGGTGTCCATGGGGTTTGACGCGGAGATCGCGAGGCTGGTGGCCGAGGGCCTGGTGCGAGTTGTCAGTGTCGAGCTCACCGACTATCGGAAGGGGTGGGACAAGGCGCGGCTGGTGGTGCTGGAGAAGACCGCGACTGCTTGATATTTTGCCCATGCGCCCAACGTGTATCAGGAGTTTGCTCGAATCATCACCCAATGCGACATCGAACCGACTGGCGGCTTGGCCCCGTGCGACAACCCCAATGCGATCTGTTCCCGAGTTCACGTCCAAACGCAGCATTCCTTTGCAGCCCCAATGCAGGTTCCTCTCCCCAGTGCGACAATGATAGGTTTTCTAGTTCTGATACACGTTACAACGAATGCATCTCATCTTTGGCCTAGTCCAGTTCTCGTAAGCCGAGCGGTGTGATAGGAAAGCATTGCAAGCCGAGGAAGGGACAACTTTCCAGCCAGATCGCTGCGTCGACAAAGACTAGGAGTACCTCGATTTACCTACGGCTAGCTGTCTGCTTTTCTGATCCTGGTGATCGACGAATGGATTGCTGCTTACGTAAGGCCACCTTCAGGAAGGGAGAGGGCAGAACAATGGAAAGAAACCCCGAGGAAACATTGGAATAACGAAACCAAGCCATCCAGTTTCGGCTTCTGAATTCTTGCCCCGATTCACCAGCCGTGCTCGTCCCACTGCCTATATACATGCATCCTGGAAACCTCCATCGAACCCCCTACTCGCACTTGACCTGCAGCCGCTGGAGATACTCCGCGTCCACGGGGTAACAGGTGTGCTCGTCGGTGACGTCGTAGGTAGCGTAGAGGGTGGAACCGCAGTTGTCGTAGTCCTGCTCGTTGTAGTCGGTCCAGGTGTACAGCACGGGCGTCTTGGTGGCATCGCTGCAGGTGGTCCCGTCGGCAAGGTAGGGGGCCAGAGAGCCCCAGGGCCAGCCCTCGATGCCGAAGCAGGAGTTCTCCAGGATGGTGTAGGTGGTGGGCTTGTCCAAGGAGCAGGTGGTGTTGAACAGGTAGAAGTCGATGGAGACCTCCGCGAGGGCGGTGGCCGTGGCGGCCGTGGCGGAGAGGAGGGCAAGAGTCTGCACGGCTTGGTTAGTGCGATTGCGCGGTGGTTCTGGATGTCGCGGGCTCCACGGAGCAACTGACCTTGGACACGGTGAGCTTCATCTTGTAGGTTATGTACTTGCGAGTGCTGGCTGTTCAGAAGGGCTGGCTCTGCAGAGACTGGAAAGCTTGGTGAGTCTGGTCTGTCTTTGGGTGGAGATGGTCTCTCCTTTTATAGCCCAGGCCCCGTACAAGTTGTTCTCCAACTTGCGGGTTATTCCTCCGATGACGGAGTGTTGTTCAGCTCTTCATAGCTTCTCGGAGCCCGATGAGTGCTGAAATTTTCGGTCTAAAACTCCGAACCTCGCCCAGACAGCTGCTTGATTCGCTGCATGACTAGAGATAGCTTACGTATATTTGGTGATTAGTGAACTGAGGTCGAGGCCCCACATGGTTCTCTTCGCAGCTGTCAGCTCTGGCCCGGAAGGGTATTTGTGGCTGCTTTTAAGTTCCCGCACCCAATCACCGGCCGCTCTGGTGTGCGAGCTAAGACTCCGTTTTGGCGGCGCTGAGCCTCCAAAAGCGCCACATGAGTCGTGGTGTTTACTGTAAGCAACACTGTAAGCAAGGAAGGGTACCGTGATGTACCCGGGTCTAATGAGTTCCTATGAGAGCAGATCTTTGGGACGGGGGCTTTGCAACCACTTCCATACAGGTCAAGCCCAGTATACTTAGTATATTCAGACTGCGTAAGAATGAAGAAGCCCCGTCTATGAAATTCCGTGTATAAACGAGATAGGCCGCCTGAAGAACCCGCCCACGTCAGCCCCCGCTCGGGTCGATGCGTTCTTCACGGACTAGCCCGCTAGCCTGCCCTTCCAGGGTCCGCTCTTGCATTCGCTTACTTCTCTGCTGACTGGGACGAGCAGGTGTCTCATAACAATGTGCCTGGAAAGATTGATGGCTGGGGAGATCTAGGGTTCTCCCAAAACGATTGTCGATCGAGATGCTTTCCAATTATTACAGTTCTCTACATCCAACATGCTGCGATCATGTCGACTCGCCCATTAATTCACTATTACAACAAAACTCCGGGCTTCCACTGATTTCCATATTTCTGGTCCAACGACCACAGATTGCCTGCTCGCATCACTCACTGCTGCGTGCAATCGATTTTATCTTGCTGCAAAGTCAAAAACGTGTTAGCACAGGGTTCCTCTGAGCACAGGGAGGGCGAAGTATTCCATACCCCAAAGCTGTCCAGACAGCAGACAAGTGTGCGTGCCTTAGAGTTGCATTGGCCCGTTTCTTCATCAGGGAGGTCACCTAAATTCATTTGTCTGGATCAGCATCATGCTGCACCGGTGGGATGTGCCCAGCCCCCAAGGAATGGCTTGGTGAGAATTGGAAGGCACAGGGGCACGCGGCAGGCTTACAGTTGGATCCGACGCCAGCGCCCGGGTCGGTGTATTCCTGCACCTTGGTATAATAATCGGTGCCAGGGCCGTCGTAGATGCAGCAGTACAGGTCGTCGGGGTCGCAGCTCGATTCTGCTCTGAGCGCAAGTGTTGCATCAACTTCCTCTACGATATCGCCTACAGCACCTCCTTGAGCGAATGCTGTGAGCGGGTGGAAGGCTAGCGCCAGAAAGGGAAGAATAGCTGTGACACGCATTGTGGTGGGCGAGGTCCTGGTGGGAGTCGAGGAGCTAAGAGAAATCTTGATGGAGTGTTGGGAAGAATGGAGAGGGACGCATGGGGATTATCTGGGAATTTATCTTCGTTGACGGACGGCTATGGTTGATGATCTTTGTGACCGATCTCCAGCACCCGAGCTCGATTTCTGACAATCAGTGCTGGAACAGCTGATGTGACGCTGATCATAACACAGAGGATCATCGCGATGATCGACAGGTGGTGCTCGAATAAGGTATTTGTCTTCGGACTCCTCATATACCAATGACGATCCTTCACGATCTCCGATCAGAGAAGTGAGGTATCAAGTACTAGGAGTATGTATGGGGTTATGAAGTATGAGGGTTCCTGCTTGTCGCACCTTCAACCAAACAGATACCATCACTTTCCCTTTCATTCGCCAAGAGTCCAAATCCCCGTTCGGAGGAAATCGCAGCAGTACTGGCTGGCTGAATTGCAAGTCGCGCGCCCAAGCAAGTTGTCCAGTGTATCTAGGAGATCCTCTACTGTAGTTTGAGCCACTGCTGTGAGTGGGTGGGAGGCTAGCGCCAGGAAGGGAGGATAGCTGTAACACGCATCGCAATAGGCTAGAAACTGGGAGCTGAGAAGGTTGTTTGGAAGTGAAGTGAAGGATATCGTGAGGTTTGGGGACACCGACAGAAGTTGAAATGGGTGGGTGTCTCTAGACTATGTTTGCTGGCGCCCGCGATTATGATGACCGATCTACACCACCACCTATAGAAGAAGCAAATGGGACGAGGTCGACCTTAACCTTGATCTTCTCGATAAGCTAACCCTTAAGATCGCTGCAATATACATGCATATCCCAGCGATTATCCCTTGCAACTGCCGGCCCCCAACAATGCGAGGTATGGGTGGTGGTAATAGGATCCGGCGCGTGGCTCTTGGAATGTACCTGAGGCCCCGTATCGTCTCGTCTGACATGTATGTTTCCGGTCCCAAGGCGTGCAGATCGTTGAATACAATAGCAGTGCGCCAATCACACCATTCGAGGCTGTCATGAACCCAGGTATAGTCTAGAAAGCGAGCCGAAACGACAGATAAAATTACCCCAGAAGGCCAGGGCTCGGGACTTGCAGAGCAGGTCCCTCGATAATGCAACAGATAGGTTTTAGAAATTCATTTTGTGGACTGAACTGATGGTAAGGAATTTCAGGATCTGCAATTGTCGTTACTCGCTTCTCCGCTGATGTCGAACACGGAAGCGGATCATATATATCGAGGAAACAAGGTAGAAAGAAAAAGGCGTCGTTGGGAAATCCAGCCAGAGACGTCAATCCCACCAAATTCCTACAAATGATGCTTGGACAGCACCAGTGGGACCAAGACCCTATCAACTCGACCCCGACTGCTGGTGTTCGACGAACCCGAACCTTTATAAGCTCTGCCCAGGTCACAGTTTCGTGCAACCAACTTCGAATATCTGTAGAGTACATCAAATCCCCTGTCAGCACGGGCGTTCCTGGTGTTTCGGCAAGGTTTGCGGGAGGCAAATTCATACGCCAAAGCTGTCCGTGCAGGAGACAAGGTTGGGTGCACCGTCATCGCATAGCCCATTCGTGGGGCTGCGGCCTTGGGTTTTATTCATCGGAGTCAGCAGCTGGCGCACATAGGGGGATGGGGAGGCGGGCGGCAGATTTCTCGCGTCGAGCCTACCCAATGCCACAGAAAAGGAGTATGGCTCACAATTGGTCCCAACTGCAGGACTCGGGTCTTTGTACTGCTCCACGTATTTGTAGGCGGCGGTGCCAGGGCCATTGACACCGACACAGCAGTACTGATTATCGGTATCGCGGCGTATTGGTCCAGCTCCCAGCACAACTTTACCTGTTAGACGTTGAGCACATACTATGAGTGGGTGGGAGGCTAGCGCCAGAAAGGGAATGATGGCTGTGATGCGCATTGCGGTGGGTTCCAGGGCCGTGGAAGTCGAGGAGGGGGATTGTAAGCGATGATGTTTGAAGTTCGAGCAGACTGAAGAAGAGACGGGAGCATCTTGAATTTATGCTTGACCGCACCTGGCATGACTGACGAATTATGACGACCGTTCTACAGCACAGGAACCTAAATCCAGAGAGCTTTGGGTAGGATTCATGATATGATGCCGATCGCGATGCTCATCGCTAAGTGATTGGCATCGCTGCAGTAGACATTTCGTGCTCCGACTCATCGCCTTCTGTCGATCAAGGTATATGGTAAATTCTGCACGCGCAAACTCGAGGTGTGAGCTATTTCGGGGCGTGGAGGTCTTCGGCAACTTCACTTCCGTCTGCAAGACCACTCAAAGCTTAATCCTTGCGAAGCTATTGGGACCCCTGATTGATGATTGAGTGTGACAGCTTCCATTCAAGCAGAAGAACTTAATGCCAAGTGTTCTTCCGGTCTTCTGGCTTGCCGATCCTTGTCAAAAATAGTAAGTGTACTATGGAGTACCTACATGGTTTTCGTATAGAAACTCAAACATCGATGGTCAAATCTGATCTAAAGTAGATCTGCCGTGCACTGCGCGATCGGCACAGGTCTGTTGATGTTATAAGTATGGTACATTGTGTCTCTTTGAGAGGTACGGTACTGCATACTCCGGACACGGTGGGAGTCCCGTGCGGGAAGGTCATATTGGTAACAAATTGATTGTAAACATGGAACATTGACTGTGGAACATCGCACTTGGCACTGCACATTTATGGTCAGTTCCAGCACCAGACAACTACTACTACTACTACTACCTTGTGTATATGAAGGCCCTTGAAAAAGCATCATGTCTTCCAATTTGGCAATCGAGGAACGAGTCAGGAAAGCGGGCCGAAGCGAAAATATCCCGATTTGGCAAACTCGTGGAGACGGCATTCGGGAAACGTGAATGTCCTCATAATCTGCATGAACCAAGCAATTCCTGTTGCCTACCATCAGCTCTGTGTTGCGGCTAGGGGCGGCAAATGATATATTGTACTTCCTAGGACCAAAAGTAAAAATGAGATCCATCATCAAGTTTTCCCTCACACCCACTCTTCATGTTTCAGGATGGCATCCTCAATCTCCACGCGTGTCTAAGCGAACGCCTCCGGCGGTTCCGGCATCTCGGTTACAGGATTCGGCCCATCCCGATCGCTCATATCTGGGATATCTGGGGAAAGCCAAGAACTACGAGTCAGAGCCACCACTGCTGTGACGACAACCCAAGGCAAAATGCCATCTGTGATTCGCTACCTCCTGCAACCATGATCTCGCTTAGCTTCTGCAGGATCTCCCGATCTGAGCATGTCAGGTTTCAGATCTTGACTTGTTGGGATATCAAAGAACTACCGATGGTTCAATGTGAAGAGCGCAAGGTGGCTATCTTGCCGTCGAAGTGCATAAATACCAGACAAACTTCTGAAAAGTGTCGTCTTCGTTCATCGACAATCATCTTGGTTCTTCCGTTCCTTCCAGGCTAGTCCTGCTGTCATTCTTTACGTTCGCTTGTAAAAGTTGTGCCTGTGGCAAACGACTTACCTTCTCGCTCGTTACTGCGTCAATTGTCTGGGACAATTTAACCTGCTTTGATTCATTGCCACTACGGCCATTGTCTCTTTCTATTCTTTGAAATCGTCATGTTGTTCACCAAGCCCAGCGTGGTTGCTGCATCGGTGCTCTCGGCCTCGATGGTCCAGGCACATATGATCATGAACCACCCAGTCCCGTATGGCAAGTCAACCCTCAACAACTCGCCCTTGGCTGCAGATGGCAGCGACTTCCCCTGCAAGCAACGCGACGGGGTGTACGACTGGCCTGCCGCGGACGAGATGAACTATTTCGAAACCGGGGTGTCTCAGGTCCTGAACTTCACCGGCATTGCCGTCCACGGCGGCGGTTCTTGCCAGGTGAGTCTGACCACGGACATGCAACCCTCCAAGGACACAGTCTGGCAGGTCATCAAGTCCTTCGAGGGAGGCTGTCCGGCCAACGTGGACGGCAATCTGGACGGTGACGCCTCGACCCCGGACCCCTTTCAGTTCAACTTCACTATCCCAGCCGATTTCTCCGCCGGCAACTACACGCTGGCGTGGACCTGGTTCAACCGCGTCGGGGCCCGCGAGATGTACATGAACTGCGCCCCCATCACCGTCCTGGAGAGCGTAGCCCAGAAGCGCTCCGTCGCCAAGCGCAGCAGCTACCCCGACCTCTTCGTGGCCAACATCAACGGCTGCACCACGACCGAGGGCGTGGATATCCGCTTCCCCAACCCCGGTGATGTGATCGAGTACGACGGAGAGGCCTCTCGTCTTGCGGCCACGGATGCGGCCGCCTGCACGGGGGTGTCCACTGCGTGGGGAGGCAGCTCTGCGACGGCGGCTGCGTCCGTGACTTCCACGACCACCACTGCTGCTGATATCACTGCCACAGTCCCCATCGTGGCCGTCGAAACCTCTGTTGCGGCCTCGTCTGTCGAGAACTCCGCTACCATCACCACCGCTGCCGCCCCCGCTGCGACGACGATTGCGGGCCGGCCCAACGGACACCAACAAAACGCCGTAACGACCACCGCAACCGCCACCGCCACCGCCACCACCAGCTCTTCCACTGACACCGCTCTCTCCGGCGTTCTGAGCGGCGCCTGCAGCCCCGAGGGATCCTGGTGGTGCAACGCCGGTGCTTCCTTCCAGCGCTGCGCCAATGGAGTCTGGACTCCTTCCCAGGATATGGCGCCCGGTACGGTCTGCGCGGCGGGCCAGTCGTCCGATCTCACGATTTCTCTGGCCAAGAGCCGTCGTGATGAGCAGCGCATGCGTCGTCGTCGGGTTGCTTAGGTGTTCGAGGTGTTATGGGTTTAGACGATGTACACTAGGTAGGGGACATGACCTTCCATGTTCGTCTTCTTTTCCTTGGGTGGGTGTATACGTATACTAGGAACCAGGATGTAGGGTATGGCTTTAGCAATGTCTGTCAAGATGCTAGATGAAATACTATGCTTCCGTCTCATATTTGAGACTAACCTATGCATAAAGGTGAACTGTTTTGCACACACCGTTGCTGACCCTATCGTGGCTATTTATATGAGGGCAGCACGTGAGTGATTTGTTACTTAACTGTAATGTCACATATGACTAGACCTTGTTCTCTAAGATCTAGACCACTAATTGTTCTTACCCCGGCATATGTGAGGATACCAGCTAGCCAATGCTCTTGATTTCCTATTTGTATGGATTCTGTTCGGTCGGCCGTCTGATGGTAAATTCAAAGTAATGCTACCGCCTCAATTACCCTCAAGCTGTGGGTTCATGACCCTTACCCCAGAAGGAATTGCCCTAGCGAAGCTACCGGAATGACCAGGCTACAGCCTTGACACACGAGCGCCATTCAATCTACAGAGCCTCGCAACTCATGCAGCCTCTCTGCCTTATCGATCACCTGGCAGCAGCCGTCGGTCAGCCTCGTGGCCCGGGTGCGGGCAGGAAGCTTGGCTGTGGCCGCGGGCACCAATCCTCTCGGCCCTGTAATACGAGGCGGCCATCATCTGATAGATGTCATCTACAGCCTTGCGATAGGACGAGAACTACATATATCGCGCCTCAACTGGACATCCCGTCTTCTTCTGCAAACACAATCCCGTCCTCTACCGTATTGCACATTCTCTAATCATCACTGACTCTGTTCCTCATCCCCAAAGATCAGCAAGTGAAGAGTCTACCGCAATGTGCAAGACCTCGTACGATTGTGGGTGCAGTGTCAACAACGGCAACGGCTGTACCTGCGGCACTGTCACCCAGCGGAACACTGGGTACTGTATTGCTCACCAGTAAGAAAATCTTCCTCTGTGGCAGAATGGGAACAACGTATCTATGGGCCTCTATTGCTGCATGTGTAACTTCAGTCTGATGACTCTCACTCGTTCTAGGAACGGCGGCGGTGGTGTCTACACTCGGCCACGCGGACAGCCGCGTTAGTGGCACGATCTAAGGTAAGTAGACCGCTCTACTACACTGAGCAAATTCTTCGTAGAGTCATTGTGCTGATGAGAAAGAGCAGGATCGTTCTCAGCATCCAGGTTTCGCCCGTCCTCACCGAGGTCGGAGTTGCCATATGAACCACCCAACATGGATAGCTGTTTGATCAGGGAAAGGATAAACTGTTGGAATTATGAGACTTACGAGGCAATCAGTAGCCAGAGACATAAGTGGGCATTGCTATGTTTTGTTTTTAAGGGTTGATGCCGCAAGCCATACTGTGGACAGGGCTGTCACCCACAACGCAAGGTCTATCTTCATAAACTTCAGCTCTGTAGTTTCATTATTGCTTTGGTCACTCAAAGCGTAGAACACGAGAAGGCATTCTTTTTACATGATAACTACTTACTAGGAGCCAATCGTCAACAGCTGGCCTGCTGGCCCAATGGTAAGGCGCTTGACTACGAATCAAGAGATTGCAGGTTCGAGCCCTGCGTAGGTCATTACTTTTTGCTCCTACTTCTAGTCGTTCCTTTTCTAGAAAACCTCCGTTCTGAACTTTATTCTTGTATTCAATACTGAATTTGTCCTTCTCGCGATTCCTACGATTGCATTTTGACTTTCAATCGCCTGTTTTGGCGCATAATAATTTCTCAAGCTACCAAGCAGGTTGCAACCCCACCCGCTCGAACGGGATATCCACAAGCTCGGCAGAGGAACTCCTGATACCAGTCCCGGGGGTTGCCGACCGTGTTCTGGATATGTTTACAGTTTGTCGGTGATCAATTGCCTGCCTCATCTTCGCAGTGCAGCGAAGTCCAATGCAGTACGCAATATTTATACTACGATTGTGCTCCAGCCACTTTGCGGAATGACCGGTTCCACTAGGGGAAAACCATGATCAATCCCGTCCAATAGAACCAGGGCTGATGGATGTAATGTTTATATCCAACCAAGATGTGAACTAATCAGAACAGCATCACTGTAGCATCACTGAACCAATCTCGATAATAACTAAGCGAGGTCGGACCCTTGCAGCAGGCGGTCCCAGAGGGCAATATGCTCCAAAATAAGCGCGGCAGGCATCCCCGTAGGCTACAGCATCCATCAACATCGGAATATTTCTTCCCCACATTACCTGGGATCTAAACCTTTCATTTCGCGACCCTGTCGAGTAAGGTCCCACAGTCTCTCCTCACCGTCTCCTTTCTCCCTCCGAATATTCCCATCTATACATCGACTTTTCCAGAATGGAGAAGAAGACATGGTCAATGCTGGGTAAGGAACCTAAGCCGTTATAGTCCCCTTGTCTTGGAGTAGAACCCCATCACATTAGAATAACAGAGAACAACCCCGATGTAGTGAATCAAATGGCAGCCAAGCTGGGTCTGTCGCCCGAGCTCCAATTTTACGACATCTATTCCCTGGACGAGCCCGAACAGCTCGCACATATCCCTTGACCTGCGCTGGCATCGCTGGTCATCATCCCACTTACCTCAGCTTGGGACCGAAGTTGCAAGGCCGAAGACGCCAATACAGAACTATACACGGGCTCTGGTCCGGACAAGCCAGTCATCTGGTTCAAGCAGACCATCGGCAACGCCTGCGGCTCCATTGGTCTGCTCCATTGCCTGATCAACGGTCCAGCTGTCGACTTCATCACGCCCGAGTCCGATCTCGCGGCCATCCGAAGCGACGCTATTCCGCTCGATATGACCCACCGCGCCGAAATACTGTGCAACAGCGAGCCATTTGAACTGGCCCACAAGTCGGTCGAGCAGGCCGGCGACAGCTATGCAGATCCGACTGATGGGCGTAGTGGGGGCCATTTTGTGGGGTTCGTCAAGAGCGGTGGAAAGCTCTGGGAGCTGGAAGGATCACGGAAGGGTCCTTTGGAGAGAGGCAGTCTGGCTGATGATGAGGACGTTGTCAGTCCACGAGCCCTTGACATGGGTATCAGGAGGATCATCCAGTTGGACAAGGACTGAGAAGTGGAGAGCCTTCGATTCAGCTGCATTGCTTTGGCGCGCAAGCTGTAGACTGTGATGAGACATTGACGCACACGTAGTACAGGTATACCCAGCTGTGAGCAATATGTAGCCTATCCTGTATGGTTTCGACCCCGTCAACCGTCGATAAGACAACTGTCTCGCATTAGCTGGGGGGGGCGATTTGAGTCTGTCCGTCGCAGGGGACTCGAAGATGGGGCCCGGATACTCCATATGTATGGTATCCATGTAGATGCTCAGATCATTATCCACCAATTGGTGATGTTTACTGGATACTATACAAGTGATGAACGAGTGGACCCTCCCATGATCTTTAGCCTCTCGGAAGCCCTGGACTGAATGAAACCCTGCATCCGGGCCCACTGACTAACCGGCGCCCATAGACCATAACTCGATGAAGATAAAGATGGTCTGGCAGAGTCAGCCTATTCTCTTACACTTGGAAGAATCCCTACGTCTACGTTTGCTTATACACTAGAGATTGTTACATCATCGCTCCGCAATGTCTCACAACGTCTTAATTACTGGAGTGTCGGGCTACCTGGGAGGGACATTCCTCGCTCGACTATCAACTCCGCTGTTGCCCGGCCTCAGCGAAAGCTTTGCTCTGGTCAAGACAGATGCACAGGGTGAAGCCTGTCGACGGTATGGTGCGGAGCCCCTGCGGTTCGACGCGTACAGCCAAACAGCCATTCGCACCGCGATTATCGAAAACCAGATCGCAATCGCCTATTTCATGATCGACTGCGACAAATTCGAGAACCAGGAGGGTTTCATTCAGGCACTTTCTGAGTCTCCGCCTCTGCTTTGGTTTCGACACCAAACATCTCGTTTGCAAGGTGTACACATACCGTCGAACGTGGGAAGAGCATTGGGTGGGCGCCTCAATACCGGCCTCAGCATATCTTAAGTGCGGGAGGAGGTGGACTTGACACTGTAGAGTTTGAAGTAGTTTAGCCTGGACAATGGAGCTGAGGAACAGACCAGACGTGACCGTATAGTAACTAGGATTTTACATTAGTACAAGCTGACCTTCTTTCCATATGCATCTCCTGAACACCATCTCAGCACTTCCCGTCAACACCAACCACCACCCCCTGGGCCTCTACACTAGCCCTACTACTCCTTCCGCTTCGTTCCTGCCCCTCCGCATCCCCCTCTTCCCCACCACCAACATTCCACTCCCCAAACACCGCCAAAACCGTAAACGGCACCGTCACCCCCCACAGCACAAACCCAAGCACCATCTGCTTCTCATTTGACCAATGCGTCGCGCCCACGGCGTAAGCAATGGTGCTGCCAATCGACTCCCACGAGCGCAGGATGCCCGTCGTGCGCGCGACGTCCCCGTCCCCGCTCGCGCCCTTGATCTCCGCCATCAGCCAGTAGACATACGTCTGCAGCACCTCGTAGAAGAACTTGAAGAACATGTACACCGTGAAGGCGGAGTTGAAGAAGGCGCCGTTGCCGAGGTCGAAAGTGGGCGGGTCGACCATGCGCGCCAGGCGGGTCTGCACGATCGCGTTCCAGGTCCAGGCTGCCGTGACGAAGACTAACACAAAGATGTAGACGCCTCTGGAGCGGGCTTGGCGGGACAGGGAGGGCAGGTCGAGGATGAAGCCCGTCAGGAGGTTGGCGGCGGCGCCGACGACGGCGGTTAGGAAGGAGGCTACGGCGCGGGAGCGGACGGTGAAGTATGCTTTCCTTCGGTTAGTGTGGCTCTCTGATTTGAGAGGGGAAGGGGGGAGATGGAGAAAGGCGTACTGGTGAGATAGTTGCCCTGGTAGGTAGTCCCGAACTGTCCAGCCAGGAAGACCGGGATCAGGAGCAGCATGTACTTATTGTGCAGCTGCTTCCAGATGGCGCGGGCTTCGATCTTCAGGCTTGTGCGCCGCATGTACGGGATCGGTGTGCCGTTGCTGCGGACTACCTGCTGGGGCTGGGAGAGGAGCAGTGCGAAAGGCGCGCCCAGAGACGAAATGGCGACCAGCCCTAGGTAGGTGGTGTAGGTGACCTTGCCGGCGTGGGCGGTGTTGATGTTCAGCGCGAGGGAGATCGCCCCGCCAACTAGGGGGCCCATCTGCCGGATTCCCATCCAGATTCCAACGTATCTACCGGGAGTATTAGTCGATGCGGTGGTTGGGGGAAGAGGGGAGGGTGATGTACCGTCCTCGTTTCTCTTCTTCGGGGTAGCCGACTGCGATGGCAGCTTCGCTTGCCCACAGAAGCGAGGCTCCGATGCCACACAGCGCAGCCCCGAGGAGCAGGAACCACTCGTTGCCGTAGCGGTTGTTGCAGTACAGTGCCGCAGCGTAGGGGGTGTAGAAGGCGGCGCCGATGAAGAGGGTCCATTTTGCGGTGATCTTGTTGGTGACGCCGCCGGCGAGGAAGCAGCCCACGGACATCAGGCCGTACGTTAGGGCATTGGCGGCGTTGTTGAGGAAGGGCTGGAGGTTGATTAGTAACGAGTATCTGGAAGAAGAGAGGTAGGCAACGTACACTAGCATTCCCCCCGGCTCCAAGATTGTTCAAAGCAGTCCAGATGCCCGGCTCGCAGAATGCGACCAGGCCCACGATGATGATCTGGAAGAGACAGGAGCGGTAGAATGCTACCAACCGGGTGAAATCCATGGTTGCGTTGTCGTTGCTCTACTCCACAAGACATGTCTATCCATTGCAGCTGGCGCTGCTATATAAGGTGTGACTGTGAAGCAATGGAAGCACGTCAGGACCCAATTTAATCGCGATGTCTGGTTATCGCATCTGCCAAGCGGTGCGGGAAGACTAGCGCTTGATTCTAGATACGAATTATACTGTTTGCTGCCCTCAGTCGGCCGATAGATAAGATCGGAGCACGCAATGCTGCAGGTAGATGATGTCGACCGGAGGGCAATCGGCAGATGTCCGAGATCACGACGCGCCATCTGTTGCCATCGAAGATGGGTTCTGGATGGAGATTATTGTCTCTTGAATATTCTTGCGCCCTTTGGCGGACTCATCGTCAATGAAGCATGTACTTTCTCACGGTACGACACCCAGCTCGAGTAAGACCTATATGACTGTCGCATGTTGGACTTCAGAGGGCATTGAAGTAGGGCAAGCAAAACCCAACCCTGATGAATCCTGAATATACGATTCCATCCTTTTGAAATCATACCCTCATACCCTTTGTAGCCCATCAACATCTCCAATGATATCAAACCCCCGTCTTCTCCCCCTCTCCCTGAACCTGCACCTCCACCTCCCCCCGCTCACCAAAAAGCGTATGCTCCGACTCCAACGCCCGATCCATACTGGCATGCCCGATCCCCAGCGCCAGCAAGAAGCTCAACCCCGAGACAGCCGCAAAGAAGATCCAGAGATCGCGAAACGCCTCGCGAAACACACCAACATAGGCCGCCTTAACCCCCTCCGCCAACCCACCCTCCTTACTCCTCAAGACCAACGCAAACTCCGCCGCCATCCGCGCAACCTGCCTATCCAACCCAGCGTTCCCCAGCCTCTCCGCCAACCGATTCTGGAAGAACGTCCCCGCCACCGCAACGCCAATGCACATCCCCAGCGACCGCATGAACGTGTACAGCCCCGCCGCCGACGCATCCCGATTATCTTTCGCTAGTGCCTGGACGGCGAAGTTCTGCGAGGTCAGGATCAGTCCTTGACCCGTGCCGAGGGTGAGGAAGATGAAGACCCAGCGCACGGCCGAGATCTTGGTGTCGAGAAGGGTGAGCAGGGCGATGGCGAGGGTGGACAGCAGCCAGCCGGACCAGATGGCCCAGCGGTAGGTGCCCAGGCGCGTGAGCAGGGCGCCGGTCACGACGCTGGCGGGCAGCATCACCCCCAGGATGACCATCAGGGCGAGGCCGCTCGTGATCGGGGAGAAGTTTTTGACCGTCTGGAGGCAGAGGGGGATGAAGTAGAGGAGGCCTAGCATCTGTTGCGGGGGATCAGTCAGTATACTACTCAATGAGGTGGGGGGGGGACCAGGGCCACGAACCAGAGCACCCTGCAAACACGCGCAGAGATACGCCAGCACGGCGGAGACACTCGCGAACAGCTGGAGATGGATGAACGGGCGTCTCGCGCCGTACGCCTCCCACAGCAGCGCCACCACGCAGCCCACCCCGCCGACAACGATGGGCACGATCGTGCGCCAGCTATCCCAGCGGAACTGGTTCCCACCCCAGGTGATGCCGATCAGAAAGCTGCACAGACTGCCGATGAACAGCACCCCGCCGACCCAGTCGATGCACCCCAGCCGCTGCAGGATGCTCGGCCGCTCGGCGCGCAGCCGCACCGTCAGCGGAACCATGACCAGCCCCAGACCGCAGAACGGCAGGTTGATGTAAAAGATCCACCGCCAGGGGATCTCCTGGGCGATGGCGCCGCCCACGACGGGCCCCGCCAATGTCCCGATCGCCCACGCCATCTGCACGATCGCGTAGTAAGTCGGCCGCTGCCGCAGCGGCACGATGTCCGTCGTGATCACGATGCAGCTGGCCATGATCCCGCCGCCGCCGATGCCTTGCAGCGACCGTCCCGCCAGGAACAGGTGGAAGTCGTGGGCGACGGCCGAGAGGATTGTGCCCAGCGTGAAGAGGCTGACGACCCCGAAGAGGACCTCCCGGCGGCCGAAGACATCGGATAGGTCCACGATGAACGGCTGGCAGACGGCGCTGGCGAGGAGGTAGGAGGTGCCCGCCCAGAAGGCTTGGACTGTGTCGCCCTTCAGGGATTGTTCCAAGACCTGAGGGTATTAGCGGGATCGCCTGACGGTGTGGACGGGGGCAGGTACCGGGATGGCCGGCGTGATGACCGTGGTGTCCAGCGAGATGATGAAGGAGAGCAGCGCCAGGCAGCCGAAGATGAGCCACTGGCCCTTTCTCGGCTTCCAGACGGGAGGAGGATCGGAAGGGTTGGACTCGACTGCGTCCGTGGCATGGCTGGAGGCGAGTTCGCGTGTGGGGGGAGTGTCGAGCTCGTCTTTCGTCGTCGACATGGTCGTGAGTGTGACAGCGTGTCTCGTCTCATGATCAGAGAGAATAATGGAGAAGGAGAGAAAGTTGCGACGTAGAATTGTTTTGTTTCTCCTGGTGCAGTCTCACCCCCGAAGTCAGCTCGGCTTCCAAGCCCTAAGAAGACAAACACCCTTGCAGATGAGCAGGAGCTGAATAAGGGGCAAAGTGAGCCCGGCAAAACAATAATCGACATGCACGAGACAGGTCACCCACCCATCAACAATCACAATTCGCCGATCACTGCTGAATGCAGAAATGAGAAATGCATCTTCATGCAGCGCATTCCGCCGTATCGGGTCATGATTCGAGGAATGCCGGAGACCTGCAGTTGCCGATACGAGGCTATCGGGAATGAATGCGCGAACGGAAAAGCAATCATGTCGATGGGCTTCGGTCACATGGTTTCGTATGTATATCTCAGCTGCGCGGTGAAATTGCCAATATAGCTGCTGCATAAGTCGGATGGAGCTGAAGATGCTGCACGGTCCAGTCGTTCGTTCTGAGTCAAGGAAGCAGGGATTTCTGGATCGGCAGTGAGGAGGGCTGACCATTAACCATTGGGTCCTGATCTGCAGAATGGCTGATTGTGATTTCCTTCAGTGAATTCCGACCGATTGGATGGCGAGATCATCCCTATATTACTGATAATCACAGCCTTCTGAAGTGTTACGAGGGATGCGCAAGGAGATTGACGTTCTAGGGCCGACCAACCACCAAGCAAATTACAACATGAGCCGTGAAGCAGATTAACTCTATACATCTATGTATGTGTGTTCTTTATATACATTACTCAACTCTCTCTTGCACCAGTACAGCAATTACAGACAGCCTCCATCCCCGCCGAACCCCTCACGCAACAGGCGCATAAAAGCTAAACTTTCCGGTGGGATCA